TTACATTTGTCTCAGTGGACTTCACTGTTTGTACAAAATATCACCCTCTGTCCTTAGACCCTCACATCGTACAAGGAAAAACTTCCAGAGAAAAGCCCCCAGTTTAAAGGGGAACATGGGAGAAACCTCAGGGAGAGCAACAGAGGAGGGATCCCTCTCCCAGGACGGACAGACGTGCAATAGATGCCGTGTGTAAATTGAAAAGATAATACATTTACAACATAAGTAGACCAAATGTTTGGAAATGCATGTGTCTATAATAAGAAGATGAATCCACGAGGATGTCAACAATCCTGTGGGAGCCATCAGGGAAGTAGTATGATGAGAGTCAGGCAGGACCACAGTGACAGGTTCAGCCACGACTCGAAGTCCAGGACTCAGATCAGGACTCAGGATAGAGGATAGGACACAGGACCGCAGCAACAGGATCAGCCATGATTCAGGATGCCGGCGTAGATAGACACCAAAAAGAAATTTGGGGGAATCTGGGTTATTCGGAACATGAGAGCAGGGCTGGACTGGCCATCTGGCATACCGGGCATTTTCCCGGTGGGCCGACGTGCCTTTTGGGCCGACACGTCATTTTTTTTTTTTTCTGAAGTCCCGGCCCATAAGACGGGTAGATTGGCCCTCTGTTTAAATGTTTTTAGTAATTGACACTGGGCCGGCCCAATCAAATCTTTAATCACCTCCCCCTTTGGGCCGCTCGGTGTGCATCATTAAATCACGCCCCCAGGAGGTGAGCCGGCCGTTGAAGCCAAATCGCCTTTTTTTTCGAGAAAAAAAAAAGTTCGAGTTAGAAATGGAGAAGGCGAAGGCGAAGACGAAGGCCAAGCGAAAAGCGGGAGCAGAAAAATTGCGGGCAAGAAAAAAGCAGGCCCTTCGTGCTGATGTTGCCGCTTGTGTCAAAATAACCGACATGTTTAGTACAGGTGCAGGTCCATATTCAGCACCCGTGGCCGATATTGGTGGTGGTGAGGAAGATGATGAGAGGGAGAGAGATCCGCGCGAGTGGGGAGAGGGGAGAGGGAGGAGATCTCGCGGTAAGCAGAAGCTAAGAAAATTAGGAAAAGATTATTATTATTAAGGTTATGATACTCTGTAGTTCTGGAACCCATTAATATCCCCTTGATGAAGCACTAATAAGACAAATATTATTAGAGAAACATTCGTTAGCCTACAAGCTAGTAAGCTGGCTTTTTTAGGTTTTCCCTGGCAAGTTAAAATATAGCTTAATGGGACTCTGGTACGTTGTCTCATTGAAAGAATGTCATTATTTTGTTAACCACCATTCATGAACAATTACTGTCAGCTGGCAGCTTGTTTAGTTTATTTACTTATGTGTTTATAAGGGCAACAGTGGTCTTTTGGGACCTGAACAAAATGTTTATAGTCAGCTTTTTGTGGTAGTTTTGATTGACAATATATAGAATGAATAATATAGAAATAGAAGAAAAAATGTAGGCACACATGTAGTTTTGACCATTAACTGTGTGGTATTGTTATGTCAATGCCTATTTGTATGGACCTCTATCAGGGACCAAAGAGGTCACCTGCATCCTTTTTGACTCTCCCAAAGCCCCCCAACTACACTCACACATGCAAACAGACACACAGACACACACACACACACACACACACACACACACACACACACACACACACACACACACACACACACACACACACACACACACACACACACACACACACACACACACACACAGAGGAATGGACGCTGGACATAGTGCCCCTCTCCACAACAAGCATTCATTTTAGTTATTTCAGTCTAGTATATAAGTTACTTTGTGTGTACAGTATATATATACAGTATATATATCTTGCTAGTTGTGTACTTTTGTAATTTATGTGGGATTTCTGTCAAATGTTGCTTCAACTCTCTTTGTAAATTTAAATCTGTCTCTTTCAAACCTATTCTCAGGAAAAAAAATAAAGACAGTGGATAGTATTTTTGGTTAAGCCTGTGTTCCTTCAGTTCTGTGTGCTCTGTGAGGTTCTGAGAAACCAGCCGCCTAAGACTTGCACTATAGCCCCTTGCGTGCGTCAATCAATCAATCACATTTTATTTATATAGCCCAATATCACAAATTACAATTTGTCTCAGAGGGCTTCACAGTGTGTACAGGTACGACATCCTCTGTCCTTAGACCCTTGCAGCGCTCAAGGAAAAACTCCCCAAAACAGACCCCACAATTAACAGTGGGAAGTAGGAAGAAACCTCTGTGAGAGCAACAGAAGAGGGATCCCTCTCCCAGGACGGACAGACGTGCAATAGGTGTCGTGTGTACAGATGAAAAAGGCAATACAATTACAGCGATTAAAAAAAGGATGGAAAAATTAAATGAAAGCGTCAATGTATATAAAAAAGATGCCGTCGACTCATCCTGTAGACTCATCTGGTCCTATCTCTATTGTGTTGTCATAGAAAGGGGAGGCAGGGCACTATAGGGTCCCCCCCCCCCCCTAAATTCACTAGAAGTCATCATTTAAGGGGTTATTTTTTAAACTTTTCTTCTGTGGGGGGCATACCCCCCCAGACCCCCCTATTAGTGCTCGGTCACTGTTCGCTTTGTGAGAGGGTTTGAAGGTCTAATTTCTAATGATTGATAGTTACACATACTTGTGGTATGTATTAGTTTTGTTTGCCCCTGGTACGTAAAAAGGATAATAATAATAGCGTTTTTTAAAATTATACTGAGTTATTCTTCTTGTCAGGAACCGCTACTATTCGTTTGTTTTATGGATTTGGGCCGGTCTGGGTCTAAATGCCAGGGCCGATTTGCTGTCCCAGTCCAGCCCTGCATGAGAGTACACAGGTACAGACAGAGAGAAGGAAGAAGTAAGGTGTCCCCCGACAGTCTAAGCCTATAGCAGCACAACTAGGGGCTGAATCTAATCAGCCCTAACTATAAGCTTTATCAAAAAGGAAGGTCTTAAGCGCACTCTTAAAAACGGATAGGGTGTCTGCCGCCTGAACACAAACTGGAAGCTGATTCCACAAAAGTGGAGCTTGATAAGAAAAGGCTCTGGCTCCCATTGTCCTTTTAGAGACTCTAGGAACAACCAACAACCCTGCATTCTTGGAACGCTTGTAATGGATGCATTTGTACTTGGGCTCTTACAGAATAAATTATAATCTAGTTGTACAGTTATGTATTACTGTTAGTATTTTTGTTTATTCTTATAAACCTTTGTGTGTAATTAGAACTTAAAATGAAGGCTAAATATAAGCAGCTCGAATCATAAACCATTAAGCGACGGGATCATTATGATAAGCTGTCGTCAGATAACATACTTGTCGGTCTTTTTCGACGACATGAATAGACATCAGAAAAAGTAACTGAGGAAATTGAAAAGATGGAGTTGATATAAACGTCACTGCAGGGTGCTGAAGAGGAGCAGGGACATGTTTTCTTCTTGAACTTGGACATTATATGTTTCATTTGTGTCCACTTGATTGTCTCCATGATTTCCTGTTTGTGTTTTTATCATGTTCTGTTGCCTATTAGCGTTTTCTTCTTTTTTAACAAATGAAAGGCGCCTAAAAATAAAATGTATTATGATTATTATAAGGTAAAGACATAGACATTATTTTCCAAACTCACTATGACAAACTGATCCCCAGCTCAATCATTCAGAGAGATGAAAGATGCCCTGAGGACTGCCCCCCCTCAGGTATACTGTGGACAGTTTGTTCAGGCACATGTTCCCACGATGCAACAGTTTCCTGATCAACAGGCGGGGGTGTCGTGCCAGCAGCTTTGGAAGACTGCAAGCCAGTGAACACGAGTGTAGGATTTGAAATACTATAAAATCAGTTCAGTAACTGTTTCATGAGCAGCTGCTTTCTCTTTCAGATCTACATCTGCACTTTGTTGAAACAAACACACACGCACACACCTCAAATTAAGATGGGAACCTTAGTGAGCATCTTATTTTATACCGACACACACTTTATTTTACCAGACCTGCTGGTCTCTATTGCAGCAAGTTGTTTGTAGTTTTGTAATCATTTAGTAAGAGTTTCATTTTATTGTTAATTCTGGTCTCACTTCAGTTTCTCTTGACTCTGGCCTGGGTTATTGTATTGTCCCTACCCCCTCCACCTCTATAGGAGCACTGAATGAGTCACCATTAGAGCAGGAACAAACAGTGTGGAGAATCAGCATCAGAGGGTCTGGTCCGGGAGCAGCAGTGTCAGATCATTTATTTAATTATAACTTTATTTCATGTTTTCATAAGTTAATGCATATATTTTGCAAAACTATAACCGGCAGTGGTGTCTACTTCAGTCAGTCCCATCTCCTGTACAGCTCATTCGCTTTTTAGCAATCATTTAAACAGAAAGTACAATAATCTTTTGAGTGCAGGGAACTGCTCAAAAATCTTTCAATAATCTGTAAATCATCTTTGACTGTCAAAAGACACCGCATCGAACTCCTCCCTGAGGCTGCGCAGGAGACACTGGAACATGTTCGGTTCTTCTGTTGGTGCGGGGTAAAAACTGAACCAGATGGTGGGTTCTCAGTCCAGCTGCGGTACAGTTAGAGACTCCATATTGTTTTCGATGCACCCAATAGAGGCTGGATACCACCGTTAAGAGGACATATTATGCTAATTTTGAGGATCATATTTACTGTCTATATTATATTTCTAGGACCTTTTTATTCACCCTCTGTCTGAAACCAGAGCCTCGTCTGCTCTGATTGGTTAGCTGGCCAGCTCTGTTGTGATTGGTCAAACCATCAGAGATGTCCTGCCCTTCAGCCAATCACGTACAATGTATTGGAGCGCCGAGGCGCTTCAGGCGGGGGGGGACTGTGTGTGTGGGAGAGAAACTCCCTCTGGCCTTTGCAGACCATGTACATGCACAGAAAGCTATTGAACACACACGAGGAAAAGAAAAACCCTTAAAAAAGCTTGAACTACTCTGAAATACTGTTCACAGGTTACCATCAGATAAAACCAAGGCACAGCCCTTCAATCTGGAAATGTATTTATTCTGCTGCTGGGTTTGTAAAGCAGATGAGAAGCACAGCAAGCATTCACAGCAGGACCAACACTTACATTAGCAAGCCCCCCCCCCCCTTCCCAGACAGGAGTTATATTCTCATGTTCCAGTATTGAACTGAATTTAGACCTAACCAAGTTAAAAGGCAAGCAAGCCAATAAAGCTCCTTTTTATCAAGGAAAACATTAAAAAGCCAAAACAGTGCGCAGTGTGAACATGGTCATGATTTCCACAAACAGAAACCTTTATATCTATTTAAAGATTATACAAATACTTCCAAGGAAAGAAAAACAACAGAAAACCACGTTTGGGGCGAACAAAGATCGCTATCGTCTTCTGGATCGGAGTGCAGTGCCCCGCCTTTTTCTTCAGTGTAGCTTAGCATGGAGACAGAACACGAGCACAGCATCAAACATCACCTGCACAGAAACTCGTACTCTATAGAAAAACTTGCTGGCCAAAAGAATGCTTTACAACGTAACAACACAGTCCACCTCTTAATGCAGCTCTGCAGATGAATGAAGCGTACATTTAGCATTGATAAACGCTGAGCTGATGCTTTGTTCCTACATCTCCACTTCAAATCAAACGGACACAGATGAAATGTCATCAGGTAAAAACTCAGGACTGGAAGGATCTAAACTAAAAACAGCACACAGGTTACGTGTGTGTGTGTGATACACTTCTGTAGCTTACAAAGGAAAACAGCAACACTGGGCCTCAGCCGGTACATACGACACGTTAGTACTTTTCTTAAATTAACAATAGAGAAGCTTAGAGACTATCATAATCTTTCTTGTCCTTTTTGCCCTCGCCCTCGAAGCTGTCCGTGCCCTCACTGTTGTCACGGCGACGCTTGCGGCTGTTGCGGACGTTGAAGCGGGGGTTAACCTGTGGCAGGGGGTCCATGCCCAAAACTTTATAGACCTGACGGAAAGCCAGGAGCCTCAGAGCAAACTGTGGGGAAGATAAAGCAGATTTAATATTTAAACTCATCTCCATTTCATGTGAAGCCTGACAGCCTATCAATCACTCCTGCTTAGGACAGCTGTTAAACATCAGCTGGATGGGGGGGGTCTGTACCTGGGCACTGGAGGTGATGTCCTCTCTCTGTTGCTCTCCCATAGTGGTGAGGGTGTCCACAGTTCTCTTCTCACACGGATCCGCCAGTCCTGGTCCACCTGTTGAAGTCATTCAACTACATTTAGTGGAGTTTAATGTATGACTTAGATAAAGATATGAGTCCAAGTCCATTTAGCAGTTCTGAATGCGTAAGATAATAAAGAATCTTACCAGGGAGTAAAATCCCAGAGGAAATACATTCAAAGACACGCCTCAGAGCGTCGCCCGGGCTGAGGGGGGCGGAGGCGCTGCTGATGGCCTTCTCTACCAGCAGCTCCATGGCCTGAACAGAGAACATGGCTTAGAGGACTGTATACACACAAGCACTCTAACAACAGGTTATATTTCACAGCCTCTTGCACTACATATCTATAACATGAAGCACGTGAAGCAGGCATCATACTCCAACAAAACCGATGTGGAGAAAGGTGTTTGTCGGCAGTACGATGCTTATACCTCAACTCTGCAGCCATTGATCGTTAAGCTAGCCATTAGGCGCGTTCACACCACAGTACTTTTCCCACTTTAGTTCCGATATAGTTCCAAAATGTCGCGTTCACACCACAGTACTTTTCCCATTTTAGTTCCGATATAGTTCCGAAATGTCGCGTTCACACCAAAAAGAGCCGGAACTAAAATGAGTTCATGAGAACCTTTTTACCCCCTTTTCCATCAGTTTTCAGTCCCTGCTAGAGAGCAGGGACTTTCGTGGGAGAAAAAGGTTCCTATTTCTGATTGGCTGGGCGGAATGCAAACCACGCCCCGTAAAACTCCCAAAAAGTTTTGTGAAGCCGCCATTTTATTATCCTCGCATTAGCATTATTAGCATTAGCCCAGCGCAGAAACGCAGAGAGACTAAGGCTGCCTTTACACGGGAACGTTTGCGTTTATGCACAGTATGCGTTTTCAAAAAAGTCTTCCATTCACATGCATTCGTTTAATTTAACGTGTCTGTTCAAACGAGACCGCTGGAAACGCTGTAGTACATATGCCGGGACTGTAAGTGGCGCTGTACTTCCACACGAGACCGCTCGAAAGCGCTGGACACGCTGTAGTACATATGCCGGGACTGTAAGTGGCGCTGTAACTTCCGCCACGAAATACACCAAAAGCAGCGAAGAAGACCCTGGAGCATGGTTGCCATGGCTACCATTCTGTTTATGCCCCGCGGTGGATTTAGCAACATGTAGTAGTTCATGTAATTCTCCATGTCCACTTGTTGCTGATGGTTGTGGTAGAGGAGCTGTAGATTTTGCACTAACATCTGTAGCATGGTCAGTAGCAGTAGCACTAGCAGTAGCTACTGACAGTAGCTACTGACTACAGCAGTGAGTAGCAGAGGTGGGGAGAGGCGGGGCGAGGCGGGGCTATGGCTTCATCTATCGGGAAATAATCGTATAGAGGCGATTACACGGAGCCGTTTGACCCCCCAGAGCGTTCCGTTTGCAGATCTATCCACCTTGGGACCCGTTATCGTTTGTGGGGTCCGTTTCTATCATTTTGTTACGGCCTCGTGTAAATGAAAGGGCTATACGCAGAAGAAACTATGCGGATACAACCCGTTTCGTTCTCGTGTAAAGGGGGTCTAACTTATGGCAACACAAAAGAAAACATGGGAGCAGTGGAGATGAGGAGGTGTCGGCGTTCTGGCGATTTACTCGGAAGGCTTCAGTAGAAGCCAGTCCCCAACTCCGGGGACTTCCGGCCGGGGACTTCGGGTGGCAGTATACGCCGTGAAGTTGTTTGCGGCCTGCCAGTAAACCCAACGCAGAAGAAGAAGAAGTGACGTCGGCTGCTTCATTTGCCTAATCCTCCCCCAGGGACTTATTCCGGTGTGAATGCGATCTGTACTAAGTTCATGAGAACTAAAGAGTTCTGAACGCGCCTATTTATATGAAACTGAAATATGGGGACCAGCTGTGACGGAGGGTGTTAATGTGCGGATCCATCAATTGGAGGGTCAGTTGATAAATCCAAGGAGTCAACATGTCAAAGTGTACTTGGGCAAGATACTTTGCAAACACACAAAATTGCTCCGGTCGGTATAAAAAAAAAAATTGTCTGCAAAACTGTTGAGTTTAATGTGGCATCGCTTTGTACTCTTGTGATGAAGTAGATACTTTGCCAGTAGCCTAACTCAAAGCGGTGTAAAATGCTCAGGAAGTTATACAGTTTGAGGGAATGATTTAGCCCAATGCCCTTTTCTTAGATAGTTTATTCCTCCTGGGTGTTGTCAGGCAATAACAGGACAGGTTGACCCTTGCAGCGTCTTGTGGATTAGGAGTGGTAACGTATCAGGGACAAGGGGAGAGCACTTCAGAGATGCTTTGGGCTGAGACTATCACTACGGTGTCTCAGCAATGTCAACTCTCCGGCTGTAACTTTAATAAATCTTCGGTGTCTGTTAGACATCAGTTCAAAGCTCTCAAAAAAAGAATTTGGTTAATTATTCTCCAGCCTTCAAATCTTAATCTCAGACTACTCGAAACCCAAATATGTTTCTTTCAACTCATCTCTGGTTGGGGACAGCCCACAGTCACAGTGCTTGGAGGCCTTTAAATACTTCATGAGTATGTTGCAGCAGGCTCTCAGGATCCACTTACCCATCCGGGGAAGGGCGACCAGGTGGGGACTCGCTGACAGAGGTCTCTCAGGAGCCGGATGACGATCACACAGGACTGAAGTCCGTTTGCTCTAGCCTTTTGATGCAATACAGTTAGGTTTACGCAGTGACAACAGTGACAAGAGATGGAGCAAACAGGAGAATCAGTTCTGTCTCAGAGGTCCAAACACTACTGTGCATAATGGAAGCTTGAGTATGGTTTGAAGTGAGTATGAGCCATAAGAGCTTGCAATCAGCTGCCATTCCCAGTAGTCTTGTACCTCACAGTTAGTAAGGGAGTTCAAAGTTTGCAAGATGCACAAGAAATGAGAACTTGTCATCTTCTAAACCCTGACCCCAGGTTTATCCAGGTATCTCACAAACAGGTACTTCAAAGTACAAGAGTTGACCTGAAGGAGAGGATAGGGACTGACAGAGCGGAGGAAATCTGCGTGACTTTGCCCGTGATTTTGCTCAGGCAGCAGAATCACAGGAAACTACTCAGATGTTCCTTTTTCTCTCAATCCCTATTCTACAAAAATATATATAGAATAAAAAACAATACAAACGTTGAACATGAAAGCACTTCTTGATGGCACAACTCTGTGCAAGTTATTGTGCAGCCTTATGGAGTCACATGTCGCTATAATGCAGTATTTGGAAAATTGAAAAGGGCATACAAGGATGCCAGTTGTTTGTTTCATACGAGTTTCAAATGAACTTGGATTTATAATCAACACTTATGGACATTAACCAAATATTTGTTGTTATATGAGGCATCCTTGAATATTGTTTTGCTTCAAATAGTAGTCTTTTTTGTTGTTGTCATTACTATAAAATGAAAACCAAATGAGTAAACACAAATAAATGAATAAACAAAGAAATAATGCATCTCATAAGGCTACAATAAGAAAGTAAAATGATGTTCCGAACCTGGAACCACTTAGCGTGGCGCAGAGCAGCCAGAGCGTCAAGGCATTTTTGCCTGTCCAAGACGTCCGCTGGGTCTTTCACCATACCCGAGGTTACATCTAAAAATGGATTTGAAGTGTCAAAATGGTGATGAGGAATGGGTGTTTGACCAGGTCAGCGAGGCTGGCAGAGAACAAACACATTGCCACACATACCAATGTCTGTTCACAAGCTACAGTCGGTTGCTTATTCTTTTTCATTTAAAACATGAAAATCTGACTACACAAAACAACACACATATTGTTAAGTCATTCTTTTCTGCAAACTGGGAATTCATTTAGTGACCGTTTGGTTAGCATCTCGCTAAATTAGGTGGCTCAAATATGTTTTGAAGCCGTTTCCATTTTATCAGGTAATTGTATCTAAAATGATTACCTTAGTTTAAAAGTCAATAAATCATTGAAATGTCTTGGTTCTAGCACTGGGACAGGAGGGGCTCCACGGCTAGTGATGATTAGTGTGAACTGGCAGAATCAAAAAGGCAGGGCTAACAGGTGCTGACCTGATAAAAAGTGGCATGGCAAAAGTAGGTGTGGCAACGTTTTTGTGATGTGAGAAAACCTTGGTCAAAAATCCTTCCGAAGCTGTTGGGCACTACTTATCCTCTGATGGGAGACATTTGTCTTTTTTTTTTATTCATGGAAGAGTAAAGAGGTCTTTGTGCTGGACTGGCTGGTAAATAGTTCTATGAATACAGAGAGGAGGAAGCAATGGGTGCTGAAGAAGAGAAAAAAACATGAGAACTACCAGCAAACAAAAGGGGTTAGGATATCACTGCATGCATACCTAACATCAGGAGGTTGGAATAAGACCCCAACAATCATCGTATAGCAAAGATTCCTCTGTCATAGCCTTCTGTACCTGAACTTTTAACAATACTCCCCTAAGAATTCTTTCAAATTCAATTCAAAAACTAAATCTTCATCGTGTCAATTCATTCCAAAAGAAAATGTGGTCCATCTTCAAATTATTTGTCCTAATCTTTCCATTGTCAACTAAATTAAAAAGGACAACAGTTGTCAAAGGCTTTCATTTTGGAGTCCTATGTGAGGAAGATGTCAATGAACTCAGGGGAGCACTTCAGAACAGGGGCCCTCAGCATGGTGAGCACTTCAAAACAGGGGCCCTCAGCATGGTGAGCTGCTGTTCACCAGTACACAAAGGGAGGATTTGTTTCCTGTGGGAAAATAACATCCAATTTCCTCTGCCAAATCTTGATTTGAGAAAAGGGTTGTGAAATTGCACAATTCATTTCAAATGAAACTTGAGGGACAGAAGTACCTCTGTTGTCTAATCTTCAGCAGGATTTGTTTTGTCTCCTAATCTCAAAGGACATTTGGAAAAAAGATACTGTAATGTATGTCTCCCATTGATTATAGCAACGATAAGATAGAAACAGAATCCCCTGGAACACAGGAAACAAAATAGAATCTCACCTGGGATTAACTAGACTTAACACAATGCAAACACTGGTCATGCTTTGTTTAAAGGATAAAGATAGCCTCTGAGAGGTAAGAGCAAAAAGCCTAAGAGCAACACTGCTGGCACTTGCCTCCTTCATCTTGTTTTCATTTCATACTATCTGCCCCATGTGATAAGAAAGAGCATTGATTCAAAGAAAAATAACTAACGTTTGGGGTCTCTTATGGGCTGCCCCTATCTATACCAGTCTGATGGTCTCAGTTGTTTAGTGGTATTAAAATGAAGTGTGTGCAGGCTGTAGACTGCACAGCAAACGTGATGAGCTAATGTGATGAGCTTGTGCTTCCTTGGTTGGTTGCCCTGTCATTCATTTCTGAAATGCAAAATGAATCATGTATGAAGAGCAAGTTGCCAGGAGGATCTGACTTAAAGCCCAACAGAAATGTGGAGTGCCAGCAGGACAGCGCTCTTCAGGGTGTCGACAAACATATTGAAACTGATTTCATAGAAAGATAGCAGAAAGACAAGAAAGGAGGTGCAATGGGAAAGGCTGTGATGGGTGTCCCAACCTCCATCCCGACCGGGCTCCTCTCGGATCAGAGGGGACGTCAGTGTGATCGTCACCGTCATCTTTGGCTCCGTGCAGGATGTCAGGATGATCGCCGCTTCCTGGTTGGATCCGCTGACCTCATATTTTTCAGGTGTAACGATCTGAAAGAAATAGAGTAAATGCAAATATGCCAACATTAATTCAGAAGTCCACTGTGCATACAACAAGTTAACATATGATTTCATATAAGTCAGTGGCCACATTTATAGGTACAGTTGTTAGCACAGGTGGACTGCTCACTGGAACCATGGGATTCAGTTACTGTTGAAACATGATGGGTGAGTTATGCAACCAGGTCATGTGGTAGAGATATCTTAAGGTCTGCCACCAAACACAAGTACAGGTCCACCAGTTTTCATAAGTCTACTAGTTGCATGAAAAAAATAAACTCATAAAAAACATCATCCGTGTACTCTGCTTTGTCCCGTCTGCGGGAAAACCCTTCACACTTCATTCAGGAGCAGTGCTAAATCATTACCTTTATTCATTCAGTCAGGAAATACAAAGTGATGGATCATATTTAGTGGACAAAAAGACAACCTGAAGAAGGGGATATGCTGATTCTATTTTATTAAATGTGCCAACTGCTAGGACTGTCTTAGGGAAGATAGCTTTTAGATGCGCAGCTCCTCTGACTTGGAATAGTCTGCAAATGAAATGGAAACTGAGCAATCTGGTGCCACTAAATGTTTTCAAAGCTCGGTTGGATGCTACTCAATCCGATGCTGTTGGTACCTGTTCATGTGGATAGTTATGTAAATTGTAATCCCTGTAATGATGCTGTATGATGTCCTTTTTGTTGTTGTGTTTATGTTTCATGTGGAACCTACTTGAGCACGTCTCCCTTGAAAAAGAGATCAATAATCTCAATGGGATACACCTGGATAAATAAAGGTTTGAAATGAAATGAAATATGCAAACTCTGGACTTAAATTGCTCTTAAGTGATGTCTCTTACTGCCAAATTCACCCCAAAAGATGTCTCTTAATAAGTAAAAGAAAGGCAAGTATAAAAGTGGCCACTAGAAACTGATGGAGGTGTGATATTTGTAAAGATAGTACTGTTAGTTGTTTGGGGAGGTGCTCCACGATGCGGGCGAGGAGGCTCTTGGTGGGCTTCTCAGAGCAGAGCAGGACCAGGTTGACGGTCTTGTCCCCCCGCAGCAGCAGGCCTTTGGCCAGGACTCCGACCCGCATCACTCCCTTCAGAGCTCTACACACAAGCAAAGAAGCAAAACAAACAACACTTAAAATGTCATCTTTCTGAGAACCATACATCCGAAAACATGTCGTCACATTAACAATGTATACTTTTACTTGAAAGCATGCATCATTTAGGTACATTTATCAGTTCTCAAAATTATTACTGTGTAGCCCAGGCAGTTTAAGTTCTAGACAGATCTGAAATGTGCACGAGAGAACAACAACACCAACTCCATAAATACTGCAGAGAAAACCCAAATAAAACAGCCCGCTCACTTGCATCTCCAGATGGCGTTTGATTATTGCTTGAAGAGTCAGCTACTATTATCCAAATGATCTAACTGTATAAATCTTGAATCACTCATAAAAGCTCACCAGACTGAAGGAGAAGCACATATTAAGCATACCTTCTGGTAGCTTTGGGCTAACACCCTCACATGAAATCAGCAGGTCATCATAATACGCCTTCTCACCGAGTTATTCCTTAACCTGTTGAGCCCTGAGCCTGTTTTTCAGGTTTCAGGCTCGAAAATGACATTCCCAGAACAAATGACTATATCTTAACTTCTAAAAGGGTTAAATTAATAATCTTTTTTCTCAAAGCAATGATAAACCTGTGAGTTGGATGTAGAAAAGTCAGAATCAATATAGATGTTTTTATTTTAAAGTAAATTCAGATTGATCATAGTAAAAAAATGTAAATTATAGTTTCCGTCCAAAATAACCCATTACTTATAGTGAAAACCACGCTTGAATTATGGGATCGTAGACTAAAAGCTTGAGGAATCCAAACTATAACATATAATAAGTACCCTGTATCAAGATTGATGCAAAACAAGTGAAATTTGACTTTTTAAGAGAGGTTTAGAAAAAAAAACACCTCTGGGGTCATTTGGGTGGATTTGCCATATCTCTAGAACCCATCGGTCGATTTTGATGATTGACACAGTGACGCGTCCTAAAACCCGGAGGTAAGCTGCGCATGGGTTACCTCGACAAAAAGCAAAGCAATTTCTCCATAGGATTTTGGAAAATAGCTGGAAATAAGGTCTGTGGTTGAGAGACATTTAAGAGACGGATCACGTTTTGTTCAGTCGGATAATCTCCACATGTCAACCCTACTTTTCTAATTTTCTAATCATAAATCTAATCGATACATTTATGATCGATAGATTTATGATTCCAAAATTATAAAAGTAGGATTGCATTGCTTTTTTGTCGAAGGAACCCATGCGCAGCTTACTTAGGACGCGTCACTGTGGCACTCTATATGAAAACTCAGTTATCGTCATAAATATGATGATGGATTATCAGTAATCATTTCAAAGTGACACAGACACATTTCATTAACCGTTTTTTTTTTTACCGCAGCATTTTTATGCCATTGAACACAACTTTTGATCAGAAAACAGCAAAGGTAAGACGTTTTTTGCCGTTTTGGCTCAGTAAAGCTAAGTTGTGTGTTGTCTGGTTTCGCATTCGCTGCCCTGAGTTTTGATCGTGGAATCTCAGCTTTCATGTGATATCTTGTTTGTGCAGATCCGATAAGTAATAAGGTATTTCTACCGTGAGTTCTGTGCTAAGTGCGTTAGCATTCTTTCGCTCAGGGCTAATTCAGAGCCTTTGTTATTACCCTTGTGTTTTGTTTAGCTAAACATTGTTAATATTGTCTGATAGCCGAGTTTCTTCCCGTTAAGTGGGTATGACACATTCATAGTTTATTAAATGTTAAGAAGCCCTCAGACACTGTTTCTTGCAAGATGTTGCATGTTGCATTTTTGCATGGGGCTTAACTGGTTAAAGGAGCTCGCTATGAAACACCTACACTGGCATGATGAACAACTGACATGACAGTAGACTATGCGAAATGTAGAGGTAGGTCAGATCTGGCACCTGTCTTTAGAGGGTTCTTTCTCCTCCTTTTCCTTTTCCTTTTCCTTTTCGTCCTCAGCCTTGTCCTGGTCTGTGATTATCTCAGAGACCAGTTTGAGGGCCCGCTCTGTGATGGAGACGATCTTCTGGATGGACTGGAGCTCGTCCTCTGAGGGGTAGATGGCTGCATGCTTGGTCATGACGTAGCGGTCGTCTGAAGAGTCAGGCCGGCGTGGGGGCTGCAAGAGTTCAAATCAGCAAGAGTTTACAATGTTATTGATAAGATACTCCTCAAAAGAAAATGCTTTCATTGACACTCGTTATATAGTGATCCCTTTTTAAAGTCATACTTTGTATTACATTGTATTCGCAGATCAACCAAAAAGGATGAACACAATAATGCCTGACAATATAAAGCTAGTTATTATACAAATATTATTTTGATAACTGAACTTTATATTTATTTTGTCCCACAATTCAGTTTTCATTGTGCCAGTTTCACTATTCTCACAAATGTGCAGTCAGTCAATGAGTTCCAAATGATTTCATAAACTAAATAAATGGCTTTATAGTTGGACTAACATTAGTTTAACTAATGTGACTTCCCTACATATTTTTCTTAAAGTTGGTTATCAGTTTGACTTTTTTATTCAAAATAGAACCTTTTAATAAAACGCCCTCAGTCTAATATTTTAAAGTTAATATATTTATGACATATCGGTAAAAAAAAAGAGGAAGATTCTTGTGAAAATATGCGCTGGCTTATAAACCAGTTCAAATCACTTCAACCAGTAGTAAACCAGAGCACAGCTGCGATCAAATCATTCCATTGAATATGTGAGATATCATACTTATCAGATTACCACATCATCTGATTTTAAACAGAAAACAAAGTCATTGTCTTGCACAAGGAAAAACAAAACTATTGGTGCAAATGTTTGATGCATTAATTATACAAAACAGAAAGAACAATGTATTACCCTCCTCTGACAAATAGTTAGAAAATCCTCTCAAAATATTAACGATACCCTTCCATTTCTGTGCATGTTGATAGATTAAACAAAGTAGGGCAAAATGCCAATGCAAACGTTTAGGGCATTGAGGTGATTAGAACACCAACCAGTAGTTAAGTTGGTCACTGGGGGGAACGATACCGACGCTGAATCTCTACCTAAAGTCACATGTTAAATGTTACTAACAATAAATCATATAGAAATACACGTAAAGTCTTACCACAGGCCCCTGAGGCTGCATGCCAGGCATGCCAGGCCGAACTCCGAGCAGACCAGGAGGGCCTGGGGGCCCCTGAGAGTACCCCCCGTCGGGCATACGGCGACGGTCATCCCAGTGGTGCTGTTCCTCCTCCATACGTCTCCAATACATGTCTTCTTCATAATGCCTGGAAATACAAAAGTACAGCTCACATCTATCCAAGTGTAAAGCTGTGCAAAGTGCTTTTAAATGTCTACGGAACAGATGGTTGAGCATTAAGGAAAACAACGTGAAGTGGCTCAGGAAATTGTTGTTCCACATAGATCTCCAAATGTTCAACTGGAGGGATGAACCCAATTCTTTACAAATAATTTGCCTATTTTGTTTTTATATCCCTTTTAAAAATGTACTTGCTCCAGATTCTTGAAGACCTTGACTATAATCCCAAAATAAATCTTAATATCAACATGGCTGGTCCCAGGTGTTTAACCTCCGAAACATAAATAACTCTACAGAGGTCAAACGATGTGTCATTTAATACAAATCATTGTTAAAGCATTCAGTGTGCATTGTGTCTTGTGTGGACACATCTACATACATCATACACCATCATTATGAAGTATACGTTATGCACAGTAGAAAGGCTGTAGAATAGTGACACCATCAGTTCCCTGCAAGCCGTGATACAGCATGTCTGCCTCTGGGTCCCTTTCACAATAAAAGCCTTTGACAGACTGCATCAGAGATAAGCAGATTGCATTCCTATAAGAGGCAACTTAACAAAATAGCTACACAAGTGACCTATCCAGAGGTAGTGGAAACTGGAACTCCAGAGCCCCATTAGCAGAGGAGACAACCATTAATAAGAAATAACCATACCGCATCTCCATTCTCCAGCGCTCCTCCTCCTCCCTCCGTCTCCAGTACTCCTCTTTCTGCATCTGCTTTCTCATCTTTTCTTCCTGAATCTTTCTGGCTCGGATGCTGGGCTTCACCTCCACCTGCAGTTCCGGGTTTACCTTTTTCTACAAAGAAAAAAGAAATGTTTTTTTTGTGTCACATATATACAATACTCAATTAAGATAACTAGTGACCTATCTTCCAGAGGTAAATATATTTAGAAACGGAAAGCTATGAATGAATTATCTTACAACAATATTCAACAAGCATCCTCTCTGGACATTTGGAAAAAAGTTTGAGCTTGATATATTCATGAATTACACACACTTTCAGCAAGGACAAGCTCTCTTTTGACAAGATCAATTGTATGGAAGTTTCACCAAATACATAACCATATATGACTGCAGGGCAGATGTGTTTGATCCAGCACTGTGTTAGCACCGTTAGAATGACTACTCCTTTCTTTGGACTATATCTGTATTTGAACAGATGTCTGCTCAACATCAGAGTGTAGGAATCCTCTGTTACTAGTAAAACATTCTAAAGGTTACTCAAGTAAAAGTAGAAAAGTGTTATCATCAAAATATACTTAAAGTACCAAAAGTAAAAGTAGTCATTGTGCAGATTGGTCCATTTCAGAATAATATATATGATATGTTTTATAATGATTGATCATGAAAGTGTTCTCAAAGCTGGTAAAGGTGCAGCTAGTTTGAATGACTTTGTATACTGCAGGGTAGCTTGTGGATTTACTCCAGGTGGAACTAAAGTCTGATTTAACCTGTTCCACTCTGAGCCTGTTTTTCAGGTCTCAGGCTCGAAAATGACATTCCCAGAACAAATGACCATATCTTCCCTTCTAAAAGGGTTAAATTAATAATCTTTTCTCAAAGTAATGATAAACCTGTGAGTTGGATGTAGAAGTGTCAGAATCAATATAAATGTTTTTTATTTTAAAGAAAATTCAGATTTTACATAGTAAAAAACTGTAAATTATAGTGTCCGTCCAAAAATTATTTTTTACAGATAGTGAAAACTACCCTTGGATGATGGGTTAGTAGACTAAAAGCTTTAGGAATCCAAAGTACAACATATAATAAGTACCCTGTATCAAGATTGATGCAAAACAAGTGAAATTTGACCTTTTTAGAGAGATTTAGCCAAAAACTGGGCCATCTGGGGTCATTTGGGTGGATTTGACCTATCTCTGGCCCCCCTTGCTCGATCTGGTTGGTTGACATACCCTTGTGACCGTTAGAGCCAATAGAATCGAAGGAGGATACTCGCATAGACACACATTGTAAAGAAAAAATGTTGCCGCTTCGCGTGTGGAAAGCGAAACTAAACTGGAGGAATGTCTCCTTCTGGAGTTTGGAAACTAAAACGCAGTTGTATTGCTTATGGATTATCAGAAATAATTTCAAAGAAGGCACAGACACATAGGATGAACCTATGGATTAACTGCAGCATCGTTTTTTTATCGTTTTAATGCCATTGAAGACCACTTTTGACCAAGGTAAGCCATATTTATATGTTTAGCTTCTTGGCTCCACATGTGATGATGTACGCTTTCGTTGATAGCGTCGCGAATGTTTATCACTGAGTGTTGAGGTGGGCACCGTTAGATTCAGTGTCTCCAGGACACCAAAAAATAGTGTTTGGTTGTGCATCTAGGATAAGTAATAAGGGAGTTCTGAGTGAGTTTATGTGCCTTTGTCGGTCCCGTTTTTTCGATCGAGGCTAATTCAGAGGCTGAGTGCTAGCATTGTGGGTTTTTTTTGAAAAAAAAAATTAAAAAGATCAGTTAGCTGAGTTTCTTCCCGTTACATGGATATAACACATTCATAGTTTTATTCAATATTAAGATTCCTTAGACGTTGTTTCCTGCAAATGACGCGTTTATCCGCCCGGTACCGGGGGGAAGGCGTGAAACAGGTTAACACTTGATTATATTTCACATCATTAATCCAGATCTGTAAAGTAACTAAAGGCATTCAATAATTGCAGTGGAGTAGAAGTACAAAGTAAAATAAAATGGCAATACTCAAGTACAGTACAAGTACTTCAAAATTGTACTTACTTGAGTTAATGTACTTAGTTACTTTTCACACTGATCTAAAAATGATGGGCACCCATATTACTTAATTACCCCTTAGGCGCGTTCACACTGCAGTACTTTTCCCACAAAGGTTCATGAGAACTCTTTAGTTCTCATGAACTAAGTACAGATCACGTTCACACCGGAATAAGTCCCTGGGGGAGGATTAGGCAAATGAAGCCGCTGACGTCACTTCTTCTTCTGCTTTGGGTTTACTGGCAGGCCGCAAACAACTTCACGGCGTATACTGCCACCCGGAGTCCCCGGCCGGAAGTCCCCGGAGTTGGGGACTGGCTTCAGTAGAAGCTGCTGGGACTCCCAGCAGCTTCTACTGAAGCCTTCCGAGTAAATCGCTAGAAACGCCGACACCTCCTCATCTCCACCGCTCCCATGTTTTATTTTGTGTTGCCATAAGTTAGTCTCTCTGCGTTTCTGCGCTGGGCTAATGCTAATGCTAATAATGTTAATGCGAGGATAATAAAATGGCGGCTTCACAAAACCTTTTGGGAGTTTTACGGGGCGTGGTTTGCAATCCGCCCAGCCAATCAGACATAGGAAGCTTTTTCTCCCACGAAAGTCCCTGCTCTCTAGCAGGGACGGAAAAGGGGGTAAAAAGGTTCTCATGAACACATTTTAGTTCCGGATTTTTTTCGGAACTAAAGTGGGAAAAGTACTGCGGTGTGAACGCGCCTCTTGAGACACATAATGACAACACCAGTGTGTTTTACCTGTGTGTAAAGACGCGTCAGCCACAAACCTTGTATTGCAGGCGATGCCGACGACCTTTAAGATGCATTTCCTTGGCATTCGGATCGTTGAAACTACATTCACAGAGCTTGCAGTGGAAGCGGATGACCTTGCCTTCATCGTTCCGGACCTAAAAAAAGGAGTTCAATGTATTACCTCAATATTTAAAAGCTTTCCTGCTCACTCACAAGTGCAAGTTGGGTGTAGCCTAATATATGGTCTGGCAAAACGTACTTCTTCCACATAGTCATGACCGACAGGCTGGACGTCACTCTGTAGGGCGGCCAAGGCCGACAGAGAATCTTCGGTCTTGGAGTCACCTTGAGAGGGCGTTGCAGGCTTAGAAGCCTCCACTTTAGCATCGTCCATCTTCGCTGTGGTCTGTAATTTATTTCCACCTGCATTTCAGGAAATCAGTGTTGTTAACCAGTTCCACTGCTTGACCTTGGTCTAAATAATGGCACATAAAGAAAGATGTGATATAGTTGGTATAGACTAAAGGGCCTTAAAGAAATGCCATTAAAGGAATAAGCAAGTAGATACTTTAAAAACAATCACATTCTAGCACAGTACAATACAGGAACATACATCCTGGAATGTACACTAATCATCAGGCTGACACTTAGATTAATGAGCACATATATACACTTAAGTGTCTCTTCTGTTTCATCTCAAACATTCATAGAATGTGCATGTTGGTTCATTTTCTGAGCAAGCACAAATTAACTACTACTAAAACATTAAGACTTCTGACAAATAAAGCAGCATTACAAGAGTCATACAGCTGATTCATCTGTCAACATGTTACCACAAAGGAAAGTATACTTCTGATGAAAGTGCTCTTGACTCTGATGCCCCTTTCACACCGGCGCTTTTTCAGCTCCGGCTCGGAGCTGGAGCTGAAAAAGCGCTGGTTTTTCCTGTTCACACCGCCTCTTAGCTCCGGAATGCAGTTCACTTCCAGCTCCAAAAAATTGTCGGTCTAGAGGCAAGAGCTTCGGAGCTAAGAGGCGGCGTCGCTTACGTCTCTCTTACGTTGAGGCGTGCAGGAAACTAAACCCACCTCCCCTGAACATGGGTCGACTGAAGAGTCTCGTCATGCCTGCCTACAAGCAGTAGCGCTGAGCAAAGTGACTAGAAGGCAACCACACACTTATACAAAAAAACACACTTTATAAAGTCAGGCAATACTAACCAGGCTTCGTGTGATTCTGTTTATTTGTACCTTACTTTGACCATCCGTTCGCTGTTATTGATCATTGTGGAGAGCAGGCAGACGTTTTGTTTTGTATTATAGCAGCTATCGGATGGAATCAATACATGGGCTGCACAGGTTGTCATGTCCGACTATCACAAGTAGAATCATAATGAAAAATACACCGGTAAAATGTGCCTGTAGAAAACGGCTTAGCAAGTACAGGGTTCTTACACCTTTTCCAAAGTCAAATTCAAGCACTTTTCAAGCATTTTCAAGGTGCATTTTCAAGCTTTTCAAGCATCTTACAGCTGTTGTAAATTACATATTTATATACACATACTTATACTCAAATGATTATTTCCCTACCTCACATTAAATCAGATGTTCTTTATGCTATAAACAACCAAATGTGTGTTTCATAATAGCATTCTACATGAGGATGAACAATTAAAGAAAAGAAAACTAAGTTTAATATTTCAAAATGAGTGACCCATCTGTACGTAGACTGGGCATCCCATATAACCTGGCTGAGCCAATATAAAACAATCAGCCAAATAACTTTTCAATATATTATTGATTACTATTTTTGAGGTACTTTTAGGTTGGCAGTAAACACAAGTCAGAGGTAAATGGTGTACTTTTCCTCCACTACATGTATTGAATACCTTTAGTTACTTTACAGATGTGGATGAATGATGTGAAATATAATCAAGTGTTAAATCAGACTTTAGTTCCACCTGGAGTAAATTCACAAGCTACTCTGTAGTATACAAAGTCATTCAAACTAGCTGCAACTTTACCAGTTTTGAGACCACTTTCATGATCAATCATTATAAAACATATCATATACAATTATTAGGGATGCTCCGAACCCCAATTTTGGGGCCGATCGCCGGAATCAGTATCGGCCGATACCGCTCTCTTTTCCCCTCTCCCCCTCTCTCTCTCTCCTGACAGCCCGTCAGTATCTCCTGCAGCTCACTGATCCAGTAATGAGCGACCCGACAGTGAAGAATAAATATATGTATAACTAGTTTAGCTTGTTCCAGAGGTAGATAAAATAGCTAAGTGTGTTAGTGTTAGGTCTAACTCTTAATGTGTGTTCTGCTCCGCTCACCGGTCCGTCACAGCGGGTGGAGCTGCAGGATTTCTGCTTCACACACACGTTGCATACCGCTATTTTATTGTCATTTTCGGACACTTAAAATCCTGCCAGACTAGTGAAGCCATTTTGGCGAGCTTGTTTTGCCACGCACAGAGAAAAGTGTCATGTATTTTACATGCAACGATAGCCTAATCTAAAATGCTCTACTCTGGCGTACCTTTCGTGTGGTGTGTGGCTCGTCAGCGCAGACTCTCGCATCGTTATTGTTGCACACTTTGCAGGAGGCTACTCTTGGGCTTCGCTTGACCCTCGTCTTAGCCATGGCTTGTATTTGTCTTCTGCTAGCCAACGCTCGTTGAAACGGCAACCTCCTGGCATACTGTCATCTATCACTCTCATCAGAATGCCCAGGTCACACACGTAACAAAAACACTTGCCGGTCACGCGCATTGCGCGGGAAGGCCGGAGCGGAGCTGTTTTATGTAAAAGCGAAGCAATTAAGCGCGCTCCGACTTCTTTATTTTCTTTTAATCTAAAAAGCGAAGTAAAGCATTTACAATTTCAAGCACTTTATCCCAAATTCAAGCACCATTCCCAAGATTCAAGCACTTTTCAAACCTTGAAAACACCTCATACAATTTCAAGCATTTTCAAGGATTTCCAGCACCCGTACGCACCCTGCAAGTAGTGAGTTTAGCTTCGGTTGCTATGCTAACATCACCCATGTTATACCAGAGAAACTTTCATAACAGCGTTGTGATGCCAAACAGCGTCAATTCAGACTGACACACATTCACTTAAGGGGAACTGGGGATATGTATCAGCTGCTTGTGTGACAGTCAGACAGTGAATACTTTAGAGCCGTGTGAGCTAACCCGGAGCTAACGGGAGAATAAACTCCCGTTGAAGAGCAGCCAGCACTGCAGCGGTCGGTAAATGCCGCTGAAACACATTAATAAACAATGAACCACGGCACTCTGGAGAAAAGTATAAGGTTGGAGAAGTTGTTATTTAATTTAATCTGGCTTCGTATGATTCAAAGCAACACGATCATCGACCCGACGCAGTCCCCCCCGTTGTTGTTGTGAGCTCCGTTGGGGAGAAAATCAGCGATGTAAACGGTGACGTCATGACGCAGCAGCGGCAGCTGGGCGGTGTGAACAGAGCGGGAGCTGAAAAGGGAAACCGGAGCTGAACCAGAAAAGCTCTAGCTCGGAGCTGAACCAGAAAAGCTCTAGCTCGGAGCTAGAAAGGGAAAAGCGCTGGTGTGAAAGCCGCATAAGTGGAACCAACATTTCTGGTTCAGTTGGTCGCCAGGTTCATGTACTGGCATGCACTCATACTTTCTACACACCAAGTGTCCTCTCATGTACAGTATGTTTTAAAAAAGTGCATGCAATACATTTAAAAAGAGCATTACAATCACAAATGACTTTTTACTCTGTACTATGTGTAATTGTGCTTTCTTTGAATTGACCTGCAAATGAACTAATCATCTTAAAAGCTATAATCTAGTACAGAGAATCACATGTTTCTCTTTATATTTCAAGCTGTATATGGTCCATTCCAAATAAACTAAAACCGTCAAAGAAATGTATGTATGTAGTTGACACCCTGCCCTACTAAGAGGTAGGAATATTGTGACCAAAACCAGGAAGATCTGAGTCAAATGTGTTTTGAATTGTAGTAGAAGAAAATAAAGAATAGAGATGTTTCTACAATTGCTGGGGAAACATGCATTGGGAGCCACCGCAACAATATTCAGGCCTTGCTACAGTGTGGCAAAAACTGTTAGTTCAAACATATCAAGATTTTCATGAAATGACCAGGTGAAAAAGAAAGTAGTGCTGCTTGTGAGCTACTAACCAACAAAGTTGATCTTGGGGGTGTTGACTTTCTTCCCAGCTAAGGTGGAGTTGGCAGCAGAAAGGTTGTTAGTCAAGGTGTTTTTCACCCCTCCCATCCCGCTGCTGACGATGTTGACAGGTTTCAGGTAGGTGGAAGCGGCGGCGCACAGAGAGCTGCTGTTGCTGGAGGTGCTCAGGGTGGCTGTGTTGGTCTTACTGGGAGCAGCTGTGGTGGAGGACGATGACTGAGTGACCATGCTGGGCTCAGTGGAGGGAATGGGCTTACCCAGTTTGGTATGAAGCTTCACCACCTGGAGAAAATTGTTCAAAATAAAATTATGAATAGATGGTAATGAGGTTTCCATTGAATTTAGTGTCAACAGAGTGGACAGATGATTCCGAACCATTTCACACACACGTATGACTTCATCTTTTTTTTATTTTAACGCTAACCCATTCATTTGGGTTAGCCATCACCGTTTGTCACAGTTGTTGTCAAGGTTTTGAAGTACAGTGTGAGAGTATTACACTCAAACAGCAGGAACGTAACCTGCTAATAAGGGGTCAGCATGGGAATAGCAATGTTTTATACTAAAGATTTCCCTTTTTTACAAAAAATGTATATCAGTCATCTTTCTTAATTACCAACACACAGAAGCGCAACTGCAACAAATATATCAGATTGTTTCTAGTGTAGTTTGTACATTTCTTCTCCTCTGTATTATATGCAGTCTTCTTTCTGGTTTATCTCCTCTGTGGAATAACTCGATCTCAACAAGTCTAAAAATAAAGAGGCTAAGTAAGTTAGCAACTGTCAATAGGTTTGAATGGTGGTCTGTCTGTGTGTGTGAGCACTCCTTTGTGCATCAGTCAATCCTCTCAGTAAATACAGAGCTAAATCCCAGATCAAATGCACGCTGAAGGCTCTTTGAGCACATTCTCTCTCAGTGATAGTGCTGTTCTGTTCAATGTTGTTTGTTTTTCATGTATTGTGTCTTGATATTTGTCCATGTTGATGTTACACATGGAGCTGCTGTGATGCAAGTCAGATTTCAGACTTGATCTGACCATTAAAGTATTATCGTATCGTATCGTAAAACAACTGGAACTGTGATTAGGTCTACCACAATTCTCTTTTCAATTCCAATTTACAAAAGAGACGAGGCTGCACCACAGTGTTGTCTGTTACTATTATCTAACATGGGCGTAATCCCGCCACTCGACGGATTCAGGGTACATACAGCTCTGATAAAAATTAAGAAACCCCTGCGGCATTATCAGTTTCTCTGGTTTACTATTTATAAACATGTGTTTGAGTTCAATTCTATCGATCTATTCTATTCTATCTAATTAATGTTTTTTTATTTTATTCTATAAAGTACTGACAATGTTGGACTTCAACAGACATTGGAATGGAATGGCTGCCATACATGTAGAGATTGAGATTTAAGAAACATGTGTATATTATGTCCAACAATCTTCCTTACCTTCTGGTGTTTGGCTCCACGGATATGGGCAGCGTAGGCGTCTGCGCCTGTGCAGGAAACATCACACAGCTCACAGCGGAGCTGGTTCTGAGCGTTGCGGGCCAATAATCCTCCTCCACTACTGCTGCTGGTGCTGCTCTGGGAAACCTTCAGCGCCGCTTCCTTCTTCTTGTGCTTCTGGCCCTCAAGATGCTCCTTATAAGTCTTATTTGGAAAAAGACAGAGCCATTAGTCCCACTGGTGGACAAGTACTTGCTTGGGAAGTTAATGTTTAATTTTAACTCTACCCAACTATTGTAAGGAAACTGAAAAGGTTAATATGTTGCCTTTGACCAAATGTGCAGCTCACACACAGTTTACTAACTGATGTGTGTTAACAGATAGTATTTCAACTTTGCAAAATGGGTCATTAAAGACAGCTGATGCACGGACATGTTGAATGTATACCTTTTAAAACCTAAAAAGGCATTTTATATTATTACAAGTGAATCATCATGGAGATGAGATCACTGGACAATCAAAACTGGATCCTAAAATATAACTAGTATTATGTGAATCCTACTTGATTTGAATGCGATATTAGCTGTTGTTGAACTCACCTGAGGGCCAGCACAGCTGATCTTACAGACATCACAGTAGTGGATCTGAGGGGGTTTGGGTGGTTGCTTGGGTCGAAGCTGCTTGCTCTGAAAGGGGGGTTTCTTGGTGAAAGTGTTCCCTTGCCATGCTGCTGTTGCTGCTACCGCTGCCACTGCCTGCTTCTGCTGCTGCTGCTGCTGCTGCTGCTGTTGCTGCTGCTGCTGCTGCTGGTAGTAGTTGGAGGCTGCAGAGTAAACTGCTGCCTCATAGCCTGAGTATGATGTTCCTGGAAAAAAGATAGACCACTTAAAACCAATGTACTGCTCTGTCAACATAGGGATTTCTAGATGGAAAACATTTGTGTGTGATTTAATTTTCTACATTTAACATTAGCAAATTAGCATGCTAATGTTTGATCATTACATCATTAAAAAACATAATACATGCATTAAGATTTATAAACACAAGAACGTTTGTTGGCATTGTGAATCATCAGGGGATTGGAGGCGTTGTCTTCCCGACCATTGCATCAGATTTTATAGGTTAAGATTTAGTGTTCATCGGTCATGTTTTTTCTAATAAAAAGCAACCAAATTGTACCTTCCATCTCCAAAAACAAAAACACACCCACTGATACCAGTGGCCTGTACTACGAAGCCAGTTCAACACACCCTGGATATGTTTGAGTTATCTGGCTTAACTAACCCATAACAAACGAGATCTCGCTAAGCGGTCCTACGACGCTGGTTATCAACTCGGTAAATCAACCCATGGTTTCTCTGTCCGGCTGAGAGCACGTTCACGTGAAAGGGGCGGGGTTAGCAACATTTGACCAATCACAAACAGGGACAAGCGTACTGACAGCGCAGCGTCATACTTCATGAATGAAAAGTAAACTATCATGTGAGACCACTGCTCCAGAGCAGGTTAGGTGTTCAGCATAAGTTACCATGGAGATCTACCCCGGTAAGAAGTGAACCAGCATCGTAGGATCGAAAACTAGAGTTAACCCTGAAGTTACCTTGCTAACTGAAAATCCTGCTTCGTAGTACAGGCAACTGTACTAGTAGAAAACAGATCCCATGCGGCTTGACCTAATTTGTTGCAGCAATACCACGTTAATGCCATTTGTTATCAAAGTTATTTTACTACTTGAGAATTGTTAAAAATGTACAGAAATCTCTCTTAAAAAAAACGTGTCTTTTAAAATTGTTATTGGTGATTTCTTGTGGGTAAAGTGAATCGATTACCGATTGTGCAAAGCCTTTAGAACAACATTGAAAGCTTACCAGAATAGGTGACAGCGTTTGTGCTGTAGGTTGGGCTCTGAGAGTAGGAAGGGACCACGGAGGCGCCACCAGCCCCAGGCTGGACAGTGGAGGTCACAGGGTAGATGGAGAAGGTGGAGGAGGCTGGATTGGGAACAGCTGGCTTTATCACGGTCACCTGTCGAGACTGCTGGCTCTGGGTGTATGATGTAACCCCCTGGCTATATCCTACTTTGGGGGCTAGAAAAACACAAATATTATACAAAAAACTTTTCAGTTTATGTGCAGCGAAATGTTGAAAGGATACCGTGAACTTAACTTGTTACATGTACATCATCAAACATTGGGAGCAGAAACTATTAAGAACGAGATTTGCCCTTGACCAGTTTTGGCTGAATGTCGTCATCTGTTAGCTTGACCATGCTAGGTGAGCTGTATAGCTTACTGTAAGCGCAAATACCAGAACTGGGGAGGCTTTCAATGTTTCAGACAGACAAGTTATAATTCTTAAAATGTTAATTTTTTTTGTATCTACTAACAGGAATGGACATTAAAAAGGGCCATACGGGTTGTTCCACCCTCAAATCCATTATTGTCAACACAGAACAGCAGAAGTGTAGCTCAAAAGGGATTTAAAAAAACACAATGAGTGTAAGAAAATCTGATTACACGGTGAGTTGATTATTGTCCATGCGAGAGGGGACACAAGAAGAGAGCCACCTATTCAATATAATAAGTGGAAATCTGTGGCGAATCACTACACTAAAAAGGAACTACGCTACAGTTGCATATTAATGGGTCCAACACAACATTTGTAAATCAGGTGAAATGAGCCAAAGGTATTTGAAATGCGTAAAAGTCTAATTCACAGTGTGTAGAGTGTGCATTAAGCAAACCTGTCTGGTAGTAGGACTCTGCCACGCTGGGTTGGGACTGTGCAGCAGCGACGGCCGCTGTAGCAGTGGCCTGCTGGTAGTACTGCTTGCTGTCATAAGTCACAGCAGGAGCTGTGGACCGGACATAGGAATAGGTGTCCTGAGAAGGAAAACAGTAAAGAAGAGTTACAGGGTTGTTGGCTCAATTCTGGGCTCTCCCTGTCCACATAGAAGACAGCTAACCTTAAATGGCCACTGATGCATTTGTGTTCACCCAAACATGTTGTAACAAACTTGTATTTGTTTGCAGGGTAGTTGAATTAAAAGAGATACATTGGGAGCTTGGAAAACGGGTGCAGTCAGGCTTTTAGGTGAGGCAACAAACATTTTGCACATATGCCCAACCAGAAATGTACACAATTTGACATAATGCATTATTTTATTTTTGCACAGTTTAACATGTGATGATTACCCAGGGCAAATACAGTGCATTCAGATAGTCACTATTGTTCCGTTTTGTTCTCATGTTGCAGTCTTCTGCTTAAACCTGGGACATGTTATATGGCATGCAATGTAACCACTCTGCAAATACCATTCATCTTTTTCTAGTAATGCTCGATTCAGTTAGGCGTGCATCATATATTCCACTATAATTTTCAATACGATGAGAGGAAAGAATCGTATTGTCACAATGGTAGCATTTCATCCTGTTTGGCTGGACTTTATAGAAAGCTCTACATGTTTAAATAATGTTCATATCATTGAAGATTCAATTTGAAGGGCACAACAGAGCTTCTCTGTGAACCACAAACAGCGCGTGGGGGCATTGTTTCAACAGTCAAAGACCCAAAGTGTCACGTTACAGAAATGTGAAAGCAAAAGGAAAAACAGCCAAAAAACTACATTCAAATGGCAAAGATAGTCAGGGGTACAGGGGTCAGTTTACACAATGATAAAAACAATTTGTGATTTAAGGAAAAGGATTGTATTTTTTAAATTGCCTTGGAAATATTTTTTTGTATTTGAGTTGATCATAGACTGTATGTATAAATGTATCTATTTTAAATGAGGTGATACATTAATTAATTGATCAATAGACAAATGTCTTTTTTATTATTTGAATATCAATTAATGAATTGTTATTGAATGCTGTATAAATATATACATTGAGATTAAGACATACTTTGTTAATTTAATTTTACACTCTGGTGTTTTTTACATCTGGTCTGACCCGTGTAGATGCCTTGAAAGAAAAAAGAACTTGTGACGTACCTGGTAGTTTTGTGAGGTGACCGGCGGAGGTGGTGGCGGGACATCCTGCTGGCGCTGAGGGTAGCCGTAGTCTGCGGCAGTATGGGCTGGCTGGTATCCTCCATAAGCTGCAGCAGTAGCCGCTGACACGGAGACTGGCGCTGGCCTAGCTACAGCCACTGTGGCTGCAGAGGGAGCATAGGCCGCCGCCACAGTGTGGGCCGCCACCGGAGCCTGATGAACGGTGTAACTGGCCACTGTGGTGGGATGTGTGTAGGCTACCCCGGCAGTTGGCTGCTGACTGGTAGGGCAACACGGGAGAGAAATGTAAAAGGTTAGCTGGCAGTTCACTCCTATTGTGGTAGTGGTTTTAAAATTAAAATTATACAATTGACTGTCCTGGTCCTTAATAGTGATTGGCTGAGCTGCATTAGAACCCGTTGTAAAATTATCTGTAAACACACAGCCTTGACAACATTACGCAGTATTGCGGCGCCATTTAGTCACGTATTGTCAAAAGTGGTTGAAAGAGACAGAGGAAAGAGAAGGGAGATGTTGTGTTTACCTTATCAAAGAAAATAACCCAGGTACAACATCTCATAATGCATACTGCAGTAAAGTAGGTAGCTGTTATCACCTTATAAAGTAACAGTTGTATCCAGCCATTAAGCCAAAAGAAGAGGAGGAGGAATTTCAAAAAGAAAAAGGTAGTGCAGTTAAAGAGAAGAAACAAAAAGGAGCCTAGTAGGATCTGTTTGAGCAGCATTGTTTCATGTCGATTCGTTGGTGACTGTTGTTGCTGCTGCACTGGCCTTTTAACTGCAACCTTTTAATTTCTCTTAACAGTATTGGTGTAGCTATGGTGGATTTGTGTGACGACTCATGGTTTGGCTACCAACTATTTAGTAAAGGATATCAACGTTTAAAATAGCTTTAAACCTGTTTTCCTTCACACATGGTTGGATGTTTTGTTGCAAACATTAAGTATTTTCTACATAACCTCACGCTTCAGAGCAGAATCGGAGTTTGGTTTATTGTCTGTTTTTAATAATTCAAGGCATTTTTGTTGCCGTTTTGGTGCAGAACTTAAAAATAGTAATACAAAAAACAACTAAATACAAGTATTGAAAAACAAATAAAATGTGCATTTAAAATTGGGGGAGCGGTTTAATTTTTTAGAAGGGTGCAGAAAAAGGGTGCAAAGATTTACAGTTTACATTAGGAGAATATATGGTGTACAGTGATGTAGTCCCAGGTGCCTGTATGCCTTTTCACAACTGCTGGCTTGATCATGAAAGGATAAATATACTGTGGGCAGAACACACGTCCGGTAAACCTCTTTTTTTAGCCAGTGTTAAGACCATAGACACAAGGTTTGGACCTGCAATAACACTGGAGCAACAGACACACCCTCCTTGTTCATTTCAACTAGAATGGTTCTAGTCAAATGAGTTCAGTCTGCTCACCTTTTGCCGCAACGGAAGGTTATCGATCAAAATAAATGTCAGTGCGTACATTCAAGGTGGGGGATTATAAATGACTTTAGTACTTTATTCTTAATATCACTATAGACGTATTTTTTGTAGTTTTGCGTCTGATAAACAAATTGATGTATTGACACTGGGCTTATTCAATAATATGTATCTTCTCCATCACCGCAGTCAAGCCCCGTCTGATGCGGCTGCAGCAGAGATAACCGCCCCCTCCCCCAGCCTGAACAATGGTGGTAGTAGGGACCATACTGCCGCACAACACACTAACGCAGCTCACCTTTGAGCGAAAAAGCATGTGGTTACGGTAAAAAGGGCAATGACTCATGTTCCCTTACCTGTACTGGGCGGCAGCGCCATGGGTAAATCCAAAGTAATTGCCGGTAGCCATTTTGGCATCTTCACCTAGCCGGCCCGGCACTGCGGAGAACAGACATACAGTATTATGCTAAGCTAACAGTTAGCAGCGGGCTCGACCGAGCGGCCCAAGGACTGTCCATTAACGTCATTAAAACTCATACACATGCTTATTTGTTTATTAAGATACTTGACACTTCACCTCTCTAGCTTGCAAACAAAAACACCAGCTTAAACAATACTCACCATAGGTGAAGGACACTACTGGACATATAGGAATCATTGGTTTTGATTATTGTACCGACGAACGTGCAGGACACCAGCGTATTTATATTACATGCCGTACCCGGAAATGTCCTATTTGCGCCTGCGCAGACGAAAGGAGCTGTTGTGCAAAGATCTGCGTGCCCGCTGAGAACTGCACACACTCACGGGAGCGCGCAAAGCTGCAGCAGGCACTTCTTATCATAACATCTGTCATGTCCTCTGCCTCAATCGCACAGATGTTTGTCCTTGATCACCAACTTCATTTTAAAAGAATGTCTGGCAGCAGCTGTATTTTCCCTCTGGAGATCAATAATGGCAGTTTTAACGTTCAGCAATTCATGTAAATGAACTACATTTATATTTATATTTCAGTGAAAAGCTATATAAAAGTAGACTTGCAAAGTTATCCATACAAATATGGATACGTAAGAACATTTTATTTCCCCCACTTTGGACAAAAAACACACACCAGCATAAATGTAAAGATACACATTTTATTTTAAAATAGTACAACAGTTATAACATTTTGAATTTGGTTTTGAAAATGACTGTTAGTCTTGATGAATACGATGCAGTTTGACTGTGTGAAACCCTCTATATTTGGTCAAATAAACTCACTTGTCATTTAAAAAACACCATATTCATTTTAAGAATGGTATAAAACATAGTCCAGAAAGCACAGTTTTGTACAACAGTTTGCTTTATTACTATTTTTATTGCACACTGAGGAACCTCCTCTTCTTGGATGTGTGTGTGTATGCATGGTGACGCCATTCCACATCCGCCGTACTCTCGTTCTCCAGGGTGCCCAGTTTGATCATATACACTGCAAAAAGAACAGGTGTTAAAGGTAATTTCTACTGATCATAGTTCCATTGTTGAGGTCTACTAGAATAGATTTACATTGTTCAATGTTCCAAAATCACATTGGTTTCTCATACAGCATCTCTGTATAGTATGTGTATTCACTCTGTCCTAAACGGCTTGTTGGAGCTCCTGCCCCCCCCTCCCTGTGAGCCCACTGTGCTCTGATTGGTCAGCTCGCCCACTCTGTTCTGATGAGTCCACCACTGTTACAGCGGAACATCAGAGATTATGTGTTACAATGGCGTTAGCAACCAGAAAATGACACCAGTAATCATGAGGCGCTTTCACACCAAGTACTTTGCCGTACTTAGTTCCCAGTACTTAGCTCATCAGAACTCTTTAGTTCTGATGAGCTAAAGAGCAGATCACGTTCACACCGGAATAAGTCCCTGGGGGAGGATTAGGCAAATGAAGCCGCTGACGTCACTTCTTCTTCTTCTGCTTTGGGTTTACTGGCAGGCCGCAAACAACTTCACGGTGTATACTGCCACCCGAAGTCCCCGGCCGGAAGTCCCCGGAGTTGGGGACTGGCTTGCAATCTGCCCAGCCAATCAGAAATGGGAACCTTTTTCTCCCATGAAAGTACCTGACTAAAAAGGGGGTGAAAAGGTTCTCATGAACTAAGTTCTAGTTCCGGATTTTTTTGGTGTGAACGCAAAATTTCAAGAGCTATCGGAACTATACTGGGAAAAGTACTCCGGTGTGAAAGCGCCTGTGGACGTGGGAAGGGTGGGTGCTGAGGGAGCTGCAGTACCCCCAGCCTGGCTGTGAGTTTGTGTGTGCTGTTAAACTAAACAGCTGAGTTCAGGCTGAGAAATCCGCGGAGCTGCAGCTGAGAAAAGATAAGGGTGTGTGTGTGTGTGTGAGGAAGTCCGCAGATTGGTCCAAAAGCCGTTACGTCACAGTGACCCTTACGTCACAGTGACCCTTACGTCACAGTGACCAGGATGAAAAAAATGGAAAAAGAGAAATGTCCAACGAGGCGTTCTGGGGCAGCACAGACAGGTCTTTTCTGTGTTAGAGTTTTACTCGCTACAGGGTGTACTTTGAGGGTTTGTGACTCTGCAGACCGTTTACATGCAGAAAAAGCTACATAACACACAAGGGGACGGGTAATAACCGGAAAAGCATGACATGGGACCTTTAAGATATGCCATAACTTGCTAAAATGCTTATAGGTTTGAAACTTTCGACAATATGTTAAACCAAAAGGCAAACTATGAACTTAAGGCTGATAACGCGTTTTAAAATGTTTAATAAAGTTAATATTTCACAATGTTTACCGAGTTGGGTGGTGTTTTGTATTCAACATGATTGAATGTTGTTATATACAGCAGTAGATTAGTAGGTCTTTCAAGTCATGCATGTATATTGCATGTAGTATTATGGATTCAAATATTTTCCTACAATCATACTAATTGGGATTCATATTGATAAATGCAAGTGGACAGGAGGGTGATGGGGAGTGCAATCAACCATTCCCTTTCACTTCCCTTTAGTTTGGTGTTAATTTAAGCCGTGTAATGAAGTTATATTTTTCACTGTTGACCAAGTTTAAATCAAAAGGCCCCCATGAACACACAATATCTAGATTTAAGTATACAGATGCGCTCTTTGTAGTTTTTCTATGGATATTGTAGTTTCACCACAGCAGATGCACATCAATAACCTTCGCTGGTGGATCATAAATACGTTGCTCAGTGTAAATGCAAACTCTACTCCTAATTCCTGATGTATTCTCCTCATCCTTTTTCCTTAACCACATTTGATTTCTCATCGAGGTCAAGGAGAAGTGGCTAGGAAAATATATAGGACCTGATTTCTTTGACTATTGGACTGCACGTGTGCTCCTGCTCCCATTCTGGGCTCAGCTAGGCTACAAGCTCCTAAATCAATGCGTGGACTGGATGACAAGTCTCTTTTATCCATCTACACATACTTACATTTCATTTCAAACCTGGGTCCGACTTCAGTCAGCACCACGTTCTTGTGGTCTGTTTTCTTGTAGGTGTGATGTCTATAATACAAAAAATAGAAAAAGGTAGAACTCTTAGCACTGTTTACCTTGATTAAGGCTAACTTTTGTATTATTATTGGTCTTATATATGTATATTGAACAAGGACCATTCATACAAATACATACATCTGGAAAAAATGGAAGAGATCTAATATATACCAGATTAAAGCTAAAAGCTAATCTCTGCAGTCCCTGGGCAGGTACAAACATAAAAACATTGTGCCTATCACCATTACAAATAAAACAGATCAAATAGAGATGTATACAATAAAAGATACTCGTACACATGTCAACATAAATCTAACTTTATAATTCATTAAAACTTACATCTCAAATTACAGTAACATTTAAGTTTATTCTACTGTACAGTATTTCATTTGACATTCTGTTTTGATCTTATCTTGCAGGAGGAGCTTTGTACTGAAAATGTTCAATGGCAAAACTTCTCTTAGCTATTGTGCATTTGATAATAAAGCCCTTGAAATTTGAATCATAGAGTTAGCTGTGCTGTCTCAGTGTGTTGGCTCCTCATGTTATCATTCTGGAGTAGCGATAAAAACACTGGCTATTTTAAAACCAGCTTCTCTAAACCAATCAGAATCGTCTTGGGCGGGCACTAAGGCCGGGATGCAGGGACTATTTCACACTGACTGACCTGAAAGAGATGAAGTCCTCTTGGTTGGAGAACGTGATGACCCGCCTACTGTCCTCCTTTGGTACCGGGAAGAGATACTTGAGGATATTTGATACCTGCGTGAACACACATAATTAGTGACTCCCAAAAGACAAGTGGGGAAGGACAGGATGGGGAGCAACAGATTACATGTTACGTGATTACTTTCATTGCCATATCTAAGCTGTAGCTACTGTGCATATGACAATAAAGCCTTTGAATTTGAATCTATTGAAGTCATCTAAAAATAACGGGAAGTAATCAGGTAATCTTTTGTTGTGAAATTCAGATTAGTTTACTGATTATTAATTCTCTTTTACAGGTTACTAGTATTTGTAACGGAATACATTTTGAAGGAGAATATCTCTGGCATGTGTACGATGGTCCAGCTCTCACCCTGGTGCCGAGGCGGGACGAGAAGTTGTTGAAGATGAGGTGGGGGTAGGCCTCAGACATGGTGCCGATGTCGGGAACATCGTGCCTCATCACCACGTTGTACAGGGTGAAGTATGCCGTGGGTCCAAAAGGCAAGTGGCACACCACCAGGGCGTCTGGAAGTAAGTCACAACATAATGAAAACCGGCTTTACCTGGATTTTTTAAAGATGTCAACTTTATTTATCCCAAGCTGGGAAAATATTTTGTCACAGCAGCATTTTGACAGTCAATCTACAATAATTACAACATTACTTCAAAAATATAATAAAATAAAGATAAACATTAGGAAACAATATTTACATATTCTCAGAGTATCTAAACATTTTTAAATATACAGAATACATTAAAATATTCTCTATTCTTCTACTAAACATATATATACTATATACAGAAAGAAATTGTGTAGAGAAGCTCAATAGTCTATTACAGAGTCTAAAAATACAGTTACAGCCTACAATGAACACAGGGTCATGTGATCTGAGGCACAGGTCATAGACAACTGTGATGGTGAGAGACCACGTTAGTAAAAGTTCTCCATAGGAAAGCAAAATGTTGTTCCTAAGATTTACTTTCTTTCCATATATGGAGCTGTTTCATTATACTTCAGTTAGTTGAAAGGATTTGCAGCTGGTCCTTTGTCTTGTTCCTACTGACTTTTTCAGCGAGTTATTTTCGTTTTCCAATTTAAAACACACTTCATATCCAAAAGCTGCTTAGAGTTAGTGTGTAATATAAAATAAAGTCATGCATGAATGAGGCTAAAACCCGGGAACAAGTTAGCATTTTAACACTTCTGGTTTCAAAATTAACGTTTTTTCGTCAGATGACTCTTGATTAAAAATAAGGTATTTGGTTGGCTTAAGAGATGTTCACCTTTTGTTCTACGAAATATGTCAGTAAATAATTCACTGATAAATGTCTGAAGCTTCTATGTGTCATAATAACGGCGGTTGCTAACAAGTGGCTAATTGTGGCTTTATTTGGGCTGCTTCCTGTAGGAGGAGACTCCTGTTCAAAGCCAGAGGGACCTAACATGATGTCCCTAACATGAGACCGAGGTAACGTGCGTACCTGGGTTTCCTCTGGTTTCGTGTATGATGACGAGGTCAGTGACGTTGTTGGCTTTGCAGGCGCCGACCAGTGCGTTCATCTCGTGGTTTCCTCTGTTCATGCGCTGGGCTCCAGGAAACATCAGCTTTATCTCCTGGAACAATTGACATTAAGCACAAATTGATCTCTGTTCTTTTCTTACTCCGCTCTAGGAAAGAGCTCATAAACATCAGAGAAACCACTACAGCGGATTACATTCCCAATTTCCTCTGATCTTCAGTGGAATTATTGGACATTTTTATCAAGGTGCACACTCAAAAATATCTTGTTCTTTTTAATATTGTAAATCCTGCACAACATGTTATCTATTTTTGAATCTGCACAGCTCTCCACTTTGAATACAGTATTTGTCATATTTTACTGTACTCAGTTTCTCAAATAATTATATTTTGTGTAAATATTGTCTTTATTATACATGTTTTAGAATAATCTTAAAATAGTTTTTTAAAATAGCTTTTATAATAGTATTATGTTTTGCTACGTATTCTTCTTTCTGTGTCTTTGAATGCACCATTAACACCAAGGCAAATTCCTCGTATGTGTAAACCTACTCTTCTGATACCTTTACTTGAGTTAATACATGTTTTGAGCTGCTGTATTCAGTACCCCTCATGTGAATGACAGCATGTAGTACTTCACCACCACAGGCTGTATATATGTTTGTACATATACTAATGGAGTGGAATGGTAATGTTTGATGAGACCCATAAAATAAAGGCTGACAATCACAATCTCCAAGCCCATCTGCGTTCTAGCGATCTCAGAGCAATTCATCCCAGAGAGAGTGGCCTTACCTTGGAGAACATTTTGAGTCTGGAGCTGGGGTCTCTGGAGGTGGTCACCAGGATTTTAGGATCTTCCACTCCGGCCCATTTATACTCATCATCCATGTGTGAGCTGACACCTGCACAGACAAGAGCCAATCAAAAGCAATGAATACACTGAAGGCTACACTGATCCATGAAATAGGACGCTGCTCATAAGAAGAGGGAATAATAACACAAACCTTCTGCTCCTTCATCGTCGTACTCCAGTAGTTTCTGCAGCTCCAGGGCATCTTTGCGTACTTCAGTTGGAAGGAGACGATTTTCTGCAAAGGACAAGGACAGCTCGTGTTAAACCAGGATGGGTGCTTGATCGGGGACAATGGAACCGATGATCCTGCCCGATTCCCACCATCAAGTGCTCCCTTGAGCTTCTGCTTCTTCTCCTCGATGGTTCGGAGCCGGTCCTCCTGGGCCTTCCTGTACAGGTACTCTCGACGCTGTCTCACTTCTCGACGAAGCTGGAACAATATGACACCAAATACTCAAATACACGAACGTAATTTTGACTATATAATTAGAATCAGAATTCCTTTATTTAATATAGAGGAAAAAAAGAACACATTAGTTATAATAGAAGAAAAATAAAGAAAAATAAGTACACATCCATGGCTAAAAATGAGTGATAACGTGTAATTTGACATTTTCAGTATACGTTGAATTGTCAGAAATAGGGCTGCACATTAGATAAAACATTGATATTCAAATCACAGAAGGTGCAATATTTGTTAAAAGGAATTAAAAATGGAAAAAATCATATTCTCATCTAGAGACTTAACAAAATATATTTGTTTGTTGAAGATCCTAAAAACACACGATGATGATTTTAAATACATTTCAAAGATAATAAAAACGATGCAAAAATGATCAATCGCTCAATTATCGTGAATCATATTGCTATGAGAATATCATTCAAAAATAATCTCAATTATGTATTTAATCCAAATGGTGCAGTCCTAGTCAGAAATCTGGAATCAATATATAATGATTTGTATCATGACACCATGACTAAATGTTGAAACTCACCATGAAATAAGGTAAACCATGTCCTTAATGATAAGTCACCAATTTCAATGTTAACAAAGTGCTGCCTGGTGAAATGGAGTAGTGTTAATGCCGAACACAAGTATAGAGTCGGATTATTCATGTTTCAGAAGATATTTGGGTTTAAAATAAAGGCTAATGTAATTATTAGGATTTCTAAATGCAGTTCTTGGTGTCAGTCCCAAAAAGAGCAATTTCCATACAGATAGAAAAACAGATAGCTTATTAAATTAGCTAAGGAAGCTATGCAACTATACATATAATATAACTAAATATCGTCATAAACATAAAAGGATATAAACTGTGGACCAGACTGTGATGTTTACATTGAATAAAGATACTGTATCACCCGCAAATGTATCATAAACTACGTTGCATCTATCGTTAGCTCGAATGCTAATGCGAGTTTCGAAACAAAGATAGTAAAATACGTAATAAAATACGTAATAAGATGTTAGAGTTAGGCTTTTTAAACTTACCATGATGATTCTTTAGCATGTAGCACTTCTCACATGGAGAAAGCAGGGCATGCGTACAAGGGCTTTCTTCATTGGCTGACAGAGGAGCCAATGAGAGCGCTCGATACTGATTTCAAAGCTTTTCAAAATAAAAGCCCGAGTTTCAAGAAAACCCCAAACCCGCTTTAGTAAGAGTGAGTAATGATGTGGAAAAAACATTGAAAATGAAAGAGATAATGGCAATAGTGTACTTTGACATTGAAAAGGCGTATGACTGTATGTGGAGGGATGGGTTACTGATCAAATTGAGTAGAATGGGTATTGGAGGGAGAATGTACAATTGGGTAAGGGCCTTTTTAACAGACAGGACATTAGAGTAAAGGTTGGAGCAGATATTTCCAACTATTTTGAAATAGAAAATGGTATCCCCCAAGGGAGTGCAGTCAGTCCAATATTATTTAACATCATGATCAATGATATATTTACATGTTTAGACACATGCATTCAATCGGCTCTATACGCAGATGATGGGGCTATTTGGATGAGGGGAAGAAATGCCCCATACGTAATGGAGAATATAGCTAGAGCGATTAAAAAAGTGGAGAGGTGGTCATATAACTGGGGATTCAAAATGTCAGAAAGCAAGTCATGCTACATGGTATTCACAAACAAACGCAAGATTGATGGCCAACAGCTAACACTATATGATCGTCCAATGACAAAGGTGAATGAGTTCAAATACCTAGGACTGTGGTTTGATAGCAAATATACATGGAAAATGCATATTAAACAAGTGGAAACAAAATGCAAAAAAGTATTAAATTTATTGCGAGCTGTAGCTGGATGCAACTGGGGCGCAGACAAACAAGCATTAATAGACATTTACAGATCAATTATGAGGTCCACAATAGACTATGGTTGTATAGTGTATGGAGCAGCAGCAAAAACATCGCTTTTAAAAATTGATAGAATACAATATAAAGCATTGCGGTTGTGTATTGGAGCGATAAAGTCATCCCCTATCAATGCAGTTCTGATAGAAGCAGGAGAGACACCTCTGGAGATCAGAAGAGAGAAACTTGCTCTGTCATACTGGGTCAGATTACAAGGAAGTGGAGAAGAAAATATTTCAAACAGAATATTACAGGATTGCTGGGAATATGCAAAATTCCAGGGACGTGGGTTTGGCTGGACGAGTAAGGAGAGAACGAGGGCATATGGAGTGGACAATATCACGTTTGCTAAAGCAACCCCATTTAGCAGTGTTCCCCCATGGCTTTTCCCAGAAGCTAAAATAGATATGAGTATTGTAGAAAGGAAAAAAGAGTGGCAAGTAAATGAAGTGGGAATTAAAACAAGTATGTATCTGAATGAAAAGTATTACAATTGCCTACAAATTTACACAGATGGTTCTAAGAACAAGGAAGAGTGTGTTGGAATTGGTATATACATCCCAGAATTTAAAATATCTATTGCAAAAAGAGCGTCTGATCAATTATCAGTGTACACAGCAGAAATGCTGGCAGTAATAATAGGATTACAGTGGGTTGAAGAGGTCAGACCAGATAGGGTGGTGATGTGCACAGATTCATTGTCCATATTACAAAGCATACAATCAACAACAACTGCCAGAGAAGACATTCTCATAGAACTGAATCATAGCCTGTTAAGACTGCACAGAGGCGGCATAGATCTGCAGTTCTGCTGGGTGCCTGCACATGAGGGGGTGAAAGGGAACGAGTGTGCTGATAAATTAGCAAAAAGTGCACTACAAAAGGAAATAACATTACCAGTTCAACTTGGAAAAGGAGAAGGAAAAGCAGTAATTAAGAAGAAAGGGATGGAGATCTGGCAGAAAAGGTGGGAGAAAGACCAGAAAGGCAAAGAATATCACAAAGTACAAAAGACAATTACAATTCATATTTATAAAGAAAGAAACAGAAGGGAGGAAATCACGATTGCTAGACTCAGAATAAATCACACAGCATTGAATGGTACGCTGTATGTCATGGGGAAAAGTGACAGTGACAAGTGTGGGAACTGTGGAGTAAAAGAAGATGTAGAACATATCTTGATACATTGTGACATATATAAAGCGGAAAGAGAAAAACTAAAGGCTAAAGTTTTAGAGGCAGAGAGGGAATGGAGTGTGGTTGGTATTTTGGGAACAAAAGGAGAGGGAGTAAGAGCTACCAGAAAGGCACTGTTTACATTCTTGAGTGAAACTGGGGTAGGAAAAAGAATTTAACATTAGGTCAAGAAAGAACATAGATTTTTATTTTTGTTTTATTTATTTCATGTTTTGTTTTTTGTTGATTTATTTATTTATTTTGATTAGATCATAGGTTAAAGAGTTGGTATGATATGATGATTCATACTCATGTACAGTAGGTGGCGGTATGCACCTTTTAAGTTGTTTGCAATCCGCCAAAAAACGAAGAGAAGAAGAAGAAGAAGAAACCCCAAACCCCAGTTGCATTCGAATAGTCCATTTAGCTTAGGAACCTTCCTAACGGAGTGAAATGACCCGGAAGTCCCTCAGTGGCAGCCATGATAAGTGCCGTTCGAATTCTCTAAATTAAAAGGAAAGGAGGTTTCAAACTTCCTTTATAACCTCCTTTAGCCTAGGAACCACTGGACCTCCCTAACCGAAAGGAGAGGAGAAAATGCTGCCCCACAATGCCTTGCAGCCGCAGCATTTGCCGTCACACAACAGTCGGCCGTTCACGGAAACAACCGATTATGAACGAGAAATGATATCATGAAAGTTACGGTGCTTATTAAGCATTTTAAAACGTATGTGGTAAGTTGCCAAAGTGCTTTGTTTTGAACGTTCATCAGTATTATAATCAAAAAGAGAAATATGAACGTTAGTTTTTACTGAAATGATCAAATAAAGTCAACATTTCACAGTCTTTACTGAGCTGTGTGGGGTTTGTTCAACTTTTAAAAGATGTTTGAATGGTGATATACACAGTGATAGATGTTAAGGACTAACCGTTATAATAAATACATTTGTATTGATTTTAAGATCTTTTCATACAATCATATGTATTGGGATCATTTGTATTAATGTGGACCGGAGGGAGAGGGTGACGAGCATAAGTTTCACTTTCCTTTTTTATTTCAATTCCAACTTTGGTCATGAAGAATATGTTTCTCTGTTGTCCCCGTTCATAAAGCATAAAACAACAGCATCAGAGCACGGTGCAGAGTCTCTAGATGAGTTTACAGTAGTCCCTCGTTCTTATTAAACATCCATGTTGTAGTCCGCTGTATAGAAAACTGTAGTTTCCATAGTTTCCCCACAGCAGCAGGCGCACATTTATGACCTCTGCTGGCGCATCATAAACACGTCGGATAGTGAAAGTGCAGTCGGATTCTCTAAAGTGCCGCAGTCTCTTCTCCTAAATCCTTTTGAATTCTCCTATCCACTATCCCTTAACCCCATGACGTTTCACTCAGAGGTCAAGGAATAGACGATAGGGTTAGAACTTAGGAGCTGATTTTTTGGAGTATTCGAACGCAACCCCCGTCTGTTGCGGACGGATTTTAAAGGTCCCATGCATAGGTCCCATGTCATGCTTTTCCGGTTATTACCCGTCCCCAGGGGCGTCGCCTGGACCTGAAAACATTCGGGGCTTAGCCCACAGTGGCGGCGGCACTACAGTGGCATTTTTTACTGCAACACTCCCCACACGCACACACACAGTACACCCGCGACTGTTACAATGAAGGCTCGATAATCAGCTCACGGCATATAGGCAGGGGTAAAGTGGTATTTTTTATGAGTGGGGGGCTCAACTCCTCGTGGGGGGTCCGGGGGGATGCTCCCCCGGGAAGATTTTTTTTTAAATATTGAAGTTAAATGCATCAATCTGGTGCACTTTGAGAGCAAAATGAAGAGATCTATGGATACCTCTCTCAACACCCATATGAAGCAGAACTGTAAACAGATGTACTTTTTCTTTATGGATATTTTACTAATCACTCCCCTTTTAAACTCTATTCTTGTTTTACTGCCATATAGTATTTCATAACTGTTTTTCCTTTATTCTCTTTTTTTTAATAACTATAATGATCATATGAAGGTGTGCCGCGGAAATAATCTTTTGAATAATTTGTGACCAAACCGTTTGAGACCCACTGAGATAACTTAGACTAAAGTTAACTATCTAAACACTCAGAGAGTCCTTTAGCTCACCTGAGTCTCTCAGTCTGAGAGGAGAGGACTCTCCTCCAGCTTGTTGTGGAACAAACAGCTCCTTATGTCCGTTAGTGCAGCTAGCTAACCAGATGCTAACAACACGGTCCATGCTGACACCGGTCTCCCCCTCTCTCTCTCTCTCACATGCGCTATTGCCACACACACACACAGAGCCGAGCTTGAATGACACACATTTATTTCCATGCAACTCTCTGATTGGTCTGGTGTCATGCCTCTGTTGCATTCACTAAACACGGGAAATTACAGTGCTGCCGTCCTCTCTTGTGTCATGATGAGGTTCACATAAAGCACGGTTAATGTATTATATTATTGAGGGAGAATTGTCCGGGGCTACAGAAAAAACATTCGGGGCTAAAGCCCCGGATGCCCAGGCCAGGCGACGCCACTGCCCGTCCCCTTGTGTGTTATGTAGCTTTGTCTGCATGTAAACGGTCTACAGTCAAAAACTCTCAAGTACACCCTAGCGAGTAAAACTCTAACACAGAAAAGACCTGTCTATGCTGCCCCAGAACGCCTCGGAGATTTTCTTTTTCTTCCTGGGTACAGTGACGTGACCATGCCCAGGTCCAAATGGACCAATCCGTGGAGCTCCTCACACACACACACACACACACACTCAGGTCCGGTTTTTGGCATAGGCAGTCGGAAAAAAAACGAGTCACTTCAAATTTGAATTAAGATGAAGGGTATATTTAATAGCTTCTTTACCTGATATGGTCATGTTAATCATTAAAGGTCCCATGTCATGGCCATTTACTGATCATAATTCCATTGTTGAGGTCTACTAGAATAGATTTACATTGTTCAATGTTCCAAACTCACATTGGTTTCTCATACAGCATCTCTGTATAGTATGTAGGCTATTCACTAGAGAAGCATGAAGCTGCGAGAAGGGAGTCCCAGCAGCTTCTACTGAAGCCAGTCCCCAACTCCGGGGACTTCGGGTGGCAGTATACGCCGTGAAGTTGATTGCGGCCTGCCAGTAAACCCAAAGCAGAAGAAGAAGTGACGTCAGCGGCTTCATTTGCGTAATCTTCCCTCAGGGACTTATTCCGGTGTGAACGCGATCGGCTCTTGATGATTAGTTCCCAGCACTTAGTTAAGTGCTGGGAACTAATCATCATTTAGTTTGAAGAAAAAACATTTGCTAAAAAAAGCTGAACGTTCGGAGAGGAGCCGAGAAGCTGATGGTGAATATCTTTGCATTAGCCTGAGGAACCTAAGGTCAAACACCGCTAATCTTTCATGCAACAATTGTTTTAGAAAATAGAATTCCAACATCACGGATTGCTTGAGGGCAACCGGCCAAACATCTGGTCTTTGTTGAGGAGGCAGAGGCCTGGCTTCATTCCAGCTCCATGAACATACAGGCACAGAATCATCCACAGACGTCTTTATTTGTTTAAAAGACACAAGATTTGTTCTTTATGAAGAAATAAGCTTGCATTTATTGGACAAACCACACTCACACAGTGTAAATATGGAACATGTCATTGGGGGTGAAAAATAAATGAAGGCTTTCATTCCAAAATGTCATACATCCATTTGGAAAAAATACCTTGAGGAAACATTTCCAAAGTGTACACCCACTCAGAAATGTTATTAGTTTGGAAAGCAGAATATTTCTTTAGGATGTCAGCGGCATTATTTCCACACAGTGTATGTATCATTTTTGGAACAAAGCTCCTCACATATACGCATTTATTTCTATATTTTAAACATTCTTTTCTTGCTGTACACTGAAGTCTCATGCTTGAAACTGTGCTTTCAGCATTTATCCTCAATCACATGACAAAAGACAAAAAAAAGCACAGTATTCAGGATCAATGCTGCATAGTTTCAACTTTGGAGTCTCAAACATCACGTCTTTGTAAGCATATGCACAGGAGATGGAAACCGTATGAAATCTGTCAGTGAAAAATACACATTATTCCTCTTAGATGCAAGAATGCTTCACTTATTTGAAACATTTTAGGGATTTATGGAAGAAACCGTACTGTACGGTCTGTAGTTCTTATCACCACGTACCATTTCGAGGCTGTATTACAGGTGTGAAATATGAACGGCAATCTGTTAAAAGCTGCAAGTATTTCAGCACAGTGTAAATCCTGACAATAAAACATAATGGAGGCAATAAATAACACAAGGATAAAAGCACGAGGAAATGTTACTTACAGAGAAAATATTAACACATTACCATAATGTTCCTTTAGAAAGATGGAGCATCAAACCAAAACAAACCAATGCACTGATTCACTGCAATCTCCATACAGGGTTTCAGAGAGGACGTCCGTTCCATTTGACCAATAGAACATTCCAACACTTTTACAGTAAGAACACTTGAAATGGATCATGAGGATAGCGGCACATCATTCCCTTGTAGTGACCTCCTTTAAGGCAACTGCAGAAAACACGAGGAGTGTGTGTGTTTGTTTTGAAAGGGTAGCAGTGGATGAAATCATAAAATCACCAGCGAAGACATGGGGGGGTTCACATCAAGATTACGTCCACACTAAGCAGGTTTATTCTTAAAAAAGCGCATTTTGCGACACCAGAGCTTGTGTCGCACCTTTTTATTTATTCATTTCACTGTATTTATTGTTTTATTTGATTATAATTACATTTTATTTACGTTATTTTTTAGCTAATATTACAGTTATTGTATGGTCAGTTCATCGATGTTAAGAGAGATACAGTATTTGAAATGCTCGTGTTTATGTGGTATAGAAATGATTATAAACAATGATGTTACAATTGTATCTAGGGTACAAGAACTGTTATTGTCAATGTATTTCCTCATGTAATTTATACTATGTATAAAATAAATAAAAATGCTATTGTTCTGATCATCAACAAACAGAGCTGGGATCTGGGATCAGTTGATAACAAATGTCTTTTAAGAGTCTTACATTATTGCTGTGACTTGGAGAAGAGACATGGCAGACTACAGTACACGGGTCAGACTCACTGTCCCATTAAGGTGTAAACACAGTGAACAATCATTAGGAGATTAGGGGAATGTTAGATCCACCCTGACAAACCATTTAAAAATAGCCCCAAACAAAACACTTAGTGTGAACGTGCTCCGATAGTGAAGCCTGGGAAGTCTTTTCTTAAAAAATCGAAATCCACTCACTCAGTCTTGTGTCTCTAAATATAAACTCTAAGCGTGCCACTGAAGCCAACACGTAGGAAAGAAAGCAGGAGTGTGAAGGAGACCCCGTCACTTTAAGCATGCTCTCCATTACCACAGCGACCAAAACAAATTCCAAATGATAACCGTATTTACAGACGCCAACATATTCAATCATCTCAAAGTACAAAGAGCCAATCACCAGGACTCACTACAGTACACGTGGTTTTCTCGCCTTTTCCTATTGGCTGGAATGGAAGTGACAGCAGTAGTGCAGATGGGGGGGGGGGGATCGATCAGAAGTAACGCTCCGGAGAAGCGCTCCTCGCTCGTGTTACCTGGGTGTTACCGGCAGCCGTGTGGGTTACGTATGGCTTGGAGATGCTTTATGCTCTTAAGTCAAGGAACAAGAAGGTTTTCAAAGGACCCTCGCCTCGCCGCTGTTCCTCCCTGAACTTCTATAGTTCCTCGTAATCTCCGTCATCTCTTTTGACGGACGCTGCTCCTCCGCCCAGAAAGTCCTCCAGATCGTCCACCTCGGTTTTCTTGCTCCGGGATGGCTTTTTCTTTTTCTCTTTCTCGTCTCCCGCTGCACCTTCGTCCTTTTCTTTTTTCTTGTGTTTGTGTTTCTTCTTGTTTTTCTCGTCCTCCTGAAAACAGAAATACGTTTATTGTGTTGATATTACTGTCTTTTAGAGATATGTCGTATAAACAACAACAAAAAGACGTTACCTCTTTGATTTTCTTCTTCTTTTTCTTCTTGTCTTTGGAGGAGTGTTTACTTTCTTTTTCTGAAAGAGAAGCGGAGATAAACAGAAGTCTCACAGTGATGCACGACTAGAGTGATCCCATTTTAAATAGTCTAGTTGCCAGCATTGGAGGGCTGATTTGGACTACTATGAGTAGTGTTGCAACCATTGGATATAGGGGGCACAAGATGAAAAAATGACCTCTACTGTGGACAATTTATTTTCAAATAAATAGGCAATCTGTCCAATCCAAATGATCCAGAGTCCCCTAAATCTTCCAAATTGAGCCCACCAAGAGCACAACATTTCTGGCTGAAAATGCCATCATTTAATCCTGTCAGAATCAGATGGATTCAGCATCCTCAATAACTTCCAAAATTGTCCAAGTCTGCCAAGCAATTTATTCACTATTGTCAACATGGGCTGTAACGGAATCAGTGCCAATTAACACAACTTATGCTAATTGTGCAAATTGCCCAACATATGCAAGTTAGCATCTGGCAGTTTCTATGTGCTGGGGACCCGTACAGTACCATTAAACTTTGGGTTAGTCAACATTTCCGGGTTTACAACAGGACTCTATGAGCTAGACTTATATATTCAAATGAAGTTGAAAAAACAGAATCTTAGGAGTAAAGCTTTGTCACATGACAAACAGTAAAACGGCTCTGCGCTGACATTGCTGTTGTGTTGCCGGAAACTAAATCAAATTGTGATATCCTCAAAGATTCCCTCAAGGATTTACTGACGATGGGCATATGTTATTGTGAGCTCATTGGGGAGACTTGTGTGCCTCCTAATGAGAAACATGAGAGACATGTAGACAAGACATCTCAGGACTTGCCTTCCTGCTCCTCGCTGCTCTCCTTGGCTGCAGGAGCCTCTTCCTGGAAGCCGAGGCCAAACAGGTCGGTGTCGTCCTTATGTTTGAAGGAGATCGGTGTGGGCTTCAGAGGCTCTGTCGCCTTGGATACCTGCAGGTCGTCGTCAGACAGGTCGGACAGAAGCTCATCTCGGACTGGAAATATGTCCTGGGAGGAAGGGAGCAGCCACACATGATCAATCCCCTGATTTTCCTAAATAAAGCTTAGGAAAAACAAGCTTTTGATGTACAGTGTGACAGAAACGCAACTAAAATAGAGTGGTGCAGTCATTTTTCAAGGGCTACCCGGAAGTTAGCATCGCAATTGCTCCCTCAACTAAAACGGGTTGGATTTCAGAATATAGCAGAAAATTAGATCTGTGGCAAACACACATTTATGATACTTAGACATGTTGTAAGACATTCACCAGTAGGAGATTTATTGACATATTTTATTTAGGACTCATTCCTGCACCACTCTATGTTTTTCGGAGTGCGTAAGTCAGACTATTAGTATTGTGTCCATTTAATTTTAAGCGGGAGAAGATGGATGGATGGATAATTTTATCCAACCGACAAACATTATGCATTACATCATGTTGTTCTTTTTTAATACTGTGAGCCATGTTCCTGCTCAGCTCTCTGAAGATATGTTGCACACCTGCACAGCCATTCACTTTCAAATATAATACACTGTAGTTTGTCATATATTGTCATGTATTCATTGTCTGAAGTAATTTAGGATCGTTTGTATATTTACATTTGGTGTTAAAACTTGTCTGAAACTGTTTAGCATTAAACAATAATTAATAGTATGTGTAAACAGGTCAAATGTCCTGCTTCCTGCAGTGAACTGAGTGAATCTGTTGTCATGCTGTACCTGTACCGTGGTTACTTTGGGGGTATCTGACGCTTCAGACTCAAAGTCGGGGTCGTCCATGATGAAGGACAGCATCTGATGGGCTGCAGGAGCCTCTGGGTCCGTATCGGAGTCTTCGGCTCGGGGGGGAGCTGCCTTTCTTCTTGGCCTGCTGCCGTGGCAACTGCTCTGCTGCCGGAGTGAGAGTGAGGGAGATGGCCTCTGGAGCTTTGGATGCCACCTTGAGTTTAGGGATGTGGATCACAGGCCTGAAACAGGGGGAAATGAATATTTGTTTTAAAAAAAATGACATTTGTTTACATTTGTTTAAATTGACATACAACAGGAAGTCAACAGCCTTCTCGGCTACATCTTAAGTGACTCACAGCTCAGGGGCCTCATTTATAAACGGTGTGTACGCTCAAAAGATGGCGCACGCCAGTTTCTACGCAATCTTTGCGATTTATAAAAAACAAACTTGACGGGAAAATGTGCGGTCCTCCACGCAAACTCTGACCCATCCGTACGCACTACGCACAACAACGGGAGAGACGAGAAACTGCGACCCCGTTGGCAGAAGGAAGAATGGAGAGAAATATGTGGAAATAATACCATAAATAAAATGTTACCTCTCATTTATCATATATGAAGAATTAATGTTCACAAATTGATTAAAGCCAATCTTAAAATGATTAAACAAACGCCTGTTTGAGACTCCTCAGTGCACACAAAAACATAACTTGGAGAAATAAATAAATACGGAAATGTTATTGATCACCCCTCGATTATGTTCTCTTATAAGAAATGTATTCTCATAAATGATGCGGTAAGCAGGAGGACAGAATAACGTCTAAACTGACGCCGTTTTGCATTTCTATAGGTTGTAGATACGAGCATGGTTTTATATACTATCACGTTTAATCATGTTTTATGCCGTTCGCCAATAGCCTACTTGATAAGTTGCTCGTAAAACACAGGAGGTATGGAAACTAAGAACACCATATGTGGTCAATTGTACAGCTAATATAACACAACACGTTAGTTGTATTTCTTTTAACTGGTGGATTATGGATATATAGTTGCTGATCGACAGCTGGAACACAAACCACCAAATACAAAAAAATAATTCAGATCCAGTCGTCATGACTCCACTCCGGAGGGATTCCCCCATCATTTCTTACAGTTTCTCATCAAGAGGGGCTCTCCTGTCCCCGGTACAAACACACTGACACACTGCCTGAGGAAGGTTATGTGTAGTTTTCTTGTCATTAACTTTTTTCGGACCACTTATTTATTTATGTTGGTGACGATCCGACCTCCATGCTGCTACTCTGGTTCAAACTGCATCCACCAAACAATATGATTTATCTCGACCTCTCCAAAATAACCTAAATCTGACACGGTGTGAGATGTCTTTTTTAGCTGTTCTATCGTCATTTCCTGCGAACTTCTTCATGCAGTCAGTCAAAATGAATGAATGAATGGGCGTTTCTTTGACTATTTAGAGGCAAATATGGGCGTTACGTGAAGCCCGCAAAAGCTGCGCCGCATTTCGAGTTGATTGTGATTTCTAAAGGGAAACAGGCGTAGGACGTGCCGTACGCAAGTCCTGTGCCGGTATGCAGTCTTTTATGAATCGGAAAATGTCTGTGCGTATTTATTTGCTTTGTCCTACGTAAGCAACCTTCCCACGCCAATCCTACGCAAGGCTTTATAAATGAGGCCCCAGGTCATGTATTTGCATTGTAACTAATCTAGACAAGTTTCTCCAGTAAATTGTGATAAGGAGTCACATAAAGTGGGCACAATGAAGCCACAAAGAATGAAACAGCAGAGATGCATTCAGGTGGAATACGTGACTATGTGTTCCCATAGCCGTGGGAACATGTTTCAAATGGGGGGTGCTGTGGGGATGACACCAGGGCCGGTTCTGACCAATTTGCTGCCCTAGGCAAGATTTTAGCTGGCAATGAAAAACCTCTACAAAAGACCAATACACTACAAAAAGAGACATGGTGGACAGCTTATATAAAAAGGCTACAAATGTATTTAGTATTGCATGAACATGTTTTAATTGGGGGTGGACTTCACATCCTCTAGGGGGGTCCGGGGGTGCCCCCCCTGGAAGATTTTCTTTAACATTTTAAAGTAAAATGCTTCAATCTGGTGCACTTTGAGCGCCCAATTACTACAGACTAGATCTAGGGGGTACAACTCTAAACACCCATATGAAAAAGATGGGTTTACATTTTATTAATCAAATAAGTATGTGAACATAACCAATAACCTACCATAGCCAATAACAAATAAATGTAGGCTAACTTATTTTATTTTTGTTGTTCATTTATATCTTATTTTACCAGTTAACATTTATTTATGCATATTTTTAAATCTCTCCAGTTTTAAACAATCTTTTTGGTTTACCGTCCTATAGTATACATTGGAATGATTTCAAACCTGTTTTTATTTATCCTAATAATTATAAAGGAGTGCCTTGGAAATATGTGTTGCATAAATTGTGACCAAAACGTTTGAGACCCACTGAGATAACTTAGACTAAAGTGAACTATCTAAACCCTCAGAGTCCTTTACCTCACTGAGCTGTAGTTATCAGCCTCTCAGTCTGACTGGAGTGAACTCTCCCTCCACATTATTGTAGAAACAGCTTCTTATATCCGTTAGCGCAGCAGAAGCTAACAACAATCCCCGCCGGTACCGGTGCACCCCCTCTCTATCTCTCTATCTCTCTCTCTCTCTCTGTGAGCTGCGGGCGCCTGATAAGCCAACATCCCCCACTTTCATCACTTACAGCGCCCATCGTACAGGGCAAATGGAAAATGTAACTGGGGTGAAAAGGGTGTCATCTTTACTTAATTATGAATGTTGTTACATCAAGGCTGAAAATTCGGTTTTTTTGGTATATTATATTTGTATTTAATCTTGTGGAAATGCAGATCCCCTGTCCTCCACCAGGGGGTGCTGCAGCACCCTCAGCACCCCTACTTCCCACGGCCCTGTGTGTTCCTCATATGAGAAGTGGAGGGAGCTTTTTAAATAAGAAGTAGCAAGTCTCTCCAGCACCAACTTTTCTTGTGAACACCACAAAAGGTGAAAGGGTTGCCGTCTTAATTCCATCCCTGATACTGTGAACGTCATTCTGAATGTTCCCTTAGGTGAAACACTGGACATAATCCGTTGCTTCATATGTATTCTTTGTTTCCACTGGGACATGTCTCTATGCTTTAATGTTCAAAAAGCACCTCTTTTCACCCTCTGTCTGAAACCAGAGCCCAGTCTGCTCTGATTGGTTAGCTGGCCGGCTCTGTTGTGATTGGTCAACCGCTTAGAGATGTCCCGCCCCATTATGTACAATATGTTGGTCGCTAGCCGATAGTTACACAGTGATGTAATTTTGTTAGGGAAGTAAACAAAGGAGTCCAATGGAGGCGTTTCAGGGAGGGTGTGGGAGAGAAACTCCCTTTGAAGGGAACACAGGGATATTAGTCTTTGCAGTCCATTTACATGCACACAAATAGTAATCCGCAGGTTGGTTAACTTTAATTAAGGCTTCCTCTGACAGACCTTCACTAAGGGTGCATTCACACCTAATAGTCCGCTTCTGTGGTGCGCACCAGACCACAGTTTGTTACATTGTTTCATTTTTCAGAAGGTTCGGTTTGCGTTCACACGGGCAAAACTCAAACGGACTATAAACTCTAAACACAAGTCATGTGCTCGGTAATGCTGTTCAACCATTGGTCAGACATTAAGGGGGTAAAAACGCAAATCCCGACAATTTCTACCAGAGCCTCCGCCATGGAGCATCGGCACTTTCGGCAGGTTATTCAACAACGTCCGTTAAAAAACATTATAACACATATAATGAGAGACGTTCTGCAGTAAGGAGGGACGTTTCACCGACGGCAGGTGTTCTTAATTTTATGTAGTTGACGGAGCATTTTTACTTTACACGACACTGTTCAACACTTAATTCTGCTTCACTCTTTAACTAAACAACCGCGGATGTCTTGAAAGACTCTTTCGCTGTGTTCACACCGACCCAAATGAACCGCACCAAGCGGCTAAACGCACCAGGGTTCGATTCAACCGGACTATAAAAGGCTGGTGTGAATGCACCCCTAACACAACATAGTGTACGATCCTGAGAAAGGACTTACGCTTTGAGCTCAGGCTCACTGTCCAAGTCTTGGTCCTGTGTGACGGGGGGGGGTTCCTCGTCGCTGGTCAGAGCGACGTCTTTCCTGAGGGGCAGGCTCTTAGGCTGGGGGAGGCTGGGCTCAGTGTCGTCAGGGTCCAACTCATCCAGGAAAGCAGACACCATGGGGTTCCCTCTGCCTTCACCATCACTGGGACAGGACAGGAAATCACTTTTATACCTCCACTCAGTGACAGCCTCTGCTATTGTAAAGCACCAGAGCCTCAGTGACAACCGATGCACACACACACCTCTCTCCTGTAGTATTTCAAAAAGTCATCAAAATTCAAAGTATAGTGTGTTAAAAAATGTAAACCAAAAGTTATACTATAGTATATCGAAAAAGTATTGATATACATATATATTTATAAGTCATCAAAAACATAGTATAGAATGTTTTTTTTAAAGTCATTGAAAAGTCATAGCATAGTATTTTTAAATAAAAACGAGTCATTGGAAAGTCAAAGTATCGTATGTTATTCATTTTTTTATTCATAAAATCATAGTATAGTTTATCAAAAAGTCATGGTAAAGTGTTTTTTTTCAAATAGTTTAAATCAAGCCAGAGTATAGTATGTAAGAGAAATTAAATAAAAGATAAAGACATATATGTTTATAAAGTTAAAGTTTTTGATAGTTTAAATGCTGAGAAAAGTTTCAGTAAATAAAGTGTATTCTTAAAATAAAACAATAAAAAAAGCCTTTTTTCTGATCATGTTGAAGCTAATTTCAATGTTTATGTAAAAAAAGGTAAAATGTGGATTACCAAACTTGCTATGTCACTTTTGCTGTAATGCCTTAAATGTCCCCGCTGCAGGACAAATAAAGGATTTCTGATTCTGACAACTAATGAAAGTTTGTGTAAGCATCTGACCTGTCGCTGTCCACAGCTGTAGCGGGCGGGGGGGCCTTGGTTTTGAAGGGCAGGCTGTCCTCCAGGAAGCTTTTATCCAGTCTCTCATCCGGCACGAAATCATCCACACTGTGAACCTTACCGGGACACACCGGAGCAGGAGGCTCGTCTGAGGGAAACACAGCCAAACAAATCCACCGTATGAAACCACAATCGAAGCGTGAAGTCACATGACAATCAGCAACCGTCCAGACATTCTCTAGTTCTGCATTTCACACTCACTGGGACAACTTGCTTTTAACTTGCCATGATTTACATATGGCTGCAACTGTGATCTAAAAATAAACACAGTTTGCCAGTTACAATTACACAATTTACTGCTTATGAATCAACCATTTGATGTTTTATGTCCATCAACTTCAGCACTAAAATCCTTTTAACTTGAAGGAGTGAGGACACAACAGCATTATCTCATTCATTAAAGATCTTATCTACAACATCAAATACGTCAGTAAATAACCCACTGGTGGATGTCTGAAGCTCCTATGTGTTGTAAGAACAGCGGTTGCTAACAATGCACAACATCAACATACCGTACATTAGCAGCCTTTAGCTTAGCGTTGATGATGTGAAGTCCTGTGACCGGGATGTAGTTCCTTTATAGGCTAACGTTTGATCTTTATTTCTAGCAATTGCAATCATAAAAGTGTTAAGAGGAGATTATCCAGCTGAAGAAATCATGTACGTATCAGAAATGTGTATCATAGATCTTATTTTCTGCAATACTCCAGCAATCCAATGAGAAATGTAATGAATTTGTGTTGAGGGAGCCCTGCCATGCTTACTTCCGCATTCGTAAATGTTGAGAGACTACAAAACGTCATCACGCTGACACAAGACCGCCTTTAGCTTAGCGGTGGGAATGAGCTGTAGTTAGTTTATAGCCTCACGTTAGCTTCCAATAGGAAAATCACATTTCCTTTTGTCGTGGGAGCTCTCTGTGATGCTATTGCCGGGTCGGCCTACAAAAATACGTCATCACTGCACCACTCTTGTAGAAGAGACTCACCTGTGGCAGGAGCCTCAGCAGCAGTGGAACCAAACCAGCGGGACATGAAGCCACGTTTCTGGGGGCCCGAAGCTCCGGGCGCAGCCGGGGCCTGAAGGTCATCGGGAGCGACGGCCGGAGGCTTTGACTCAACAGCAGGAGAAGCCGGGGACGGAGGTGGAGGGAGGGAGGCGGACACAGCTGGTGACTGGGGGAGCACCTGGGGGGGTAGGGGGGGTTGAGGAGTGCTGGGGCTGGAGCTGCCTGTCGAGGCTCCGCTGGGGGGGACGATGGGGGACTGGGAGCCGGAGGAGGGACTCTGACCGTTAGCTGGACCGGGAGAGCCAAAGCCTTTACTGCGAGACTCCAAGTTCTCCAGGAAACTGCAGGAAACACAACAGAGCAGTTATAAACTGAGCTTCACCTGCAGGAATATGTGAGGCTGGGAGCAGAGCAGGGGCTGTACTGTGGGAAGGGTTCAGCGAAAGCCCTTATGGACACTTTATTTGTCTTTACAACGTTTTTTGATATAGGCTAGAAGATTACTAAAATAAAAATATAAGTGTAATTCAATATTAAAAAAATAAATAAAAAATTCAGAGTAACACGTCAAATGTAACTTGAAATACTAAAAAGGCAAACCATAGTCAGATATGTTTTATTATGTACAGCTTTTAGTGGTTTCTGGGAAATAGCTTTGAGAGAACTGTCCACTATTTTCAGTATTTCTCCAAATAAAATCTCTCTCACAATTGGGAAGGAATTGGTTGAATGATTATAATCAAATAGCTCTAAAAGAAAGGATCTTGTAAATTAAATATATAGAATGCAAAAAAATACATTTAGAATTTTGAAACATTAGTATTTTTGACGACAGATGAAAAGGAAATTGGTGAGGTATACCAGCAAAACATTACTAATGACTCTCCGGTTAGATATAACAATTGATGTACTTATGATAATGGTTGAGTATCTGTTATCTGTCAATCTTTTTTTTATCAATTATCAGTATTCACTTTTTTCTGATTTGTGGATTGTTATTTTATTTTATTGTATTTCTTTTAGTTGTGTATGCCCTGTAATCATATTATTTTTCAAAATGCAAAGTCAAAAAAGATTACTCAAGAAGATGCAAACACATTCACAAAACTGTCTGTGAGGAGGAACTCATTGCCCTTACAAGAAACGTGAAATGATCACATCATTATTTCAATTGCAATGAAAGTGTCTTAACTCATGTTTTTGGGTTTGTTTTCAAACACAGAGCCGTGATTAGCTGACAGTCATAACGGCAACTTTCCCTCTAATAATGAATTCTTGAGAAAAAGAAAAGTATATATTCTCACGATAAGACCAGAAAACTGAGCTGAAGCAAATGTCATACATAGGTGTAGAATTCAACAGCTACAGTCTATAGAGTGTTCTGAGCCTCACAACTACAGAAGCTCTGGGTGGACATGTGAAAAACAGTGTGAGAGAGTAAGAAAGCTGACAGTACATCTCATAGTTCTGATCTTCAGTCTCCTGCTGGACACACAGCTCCTCCAGAGTGGCATCCATGTCCAGCTGGTTGGTCTCCAGCTGCCTCAGGAGGGTCTCCCTCTACACACACACACACACACACACACACACACACACACACACACACACACACACACACACACACACACACACACACACACACACACACACACACACACACACACACACACACACACACACACACACACACACACACACACACCACACACACACACACACACACACACACACACACACACACACACACACACACACACACACACACACACACACACACACACACACACACACACACACACACACACACACACACACACACAACACACACACACACACACACACCACACACACACCACACACACACACACACACACACACACACACACACACACACACACACACACACACACACACACACACACACACACACACACACACACACACACACACACACACACACACACACACCCACACACACACAATGATTGACAGGATCTCTGTTTAGGCCCTCGCGAGACAAAACTGCAATCTTGGTGTCCCCATTGATTTAAAGCAGATTAAGACCATCATTAACCAGTACAGGTAGGGAGGACATACCTGTAGCTGCAGGAAGGGGATGTTGAAGAACCTGTGCAGATATTTCAGACCAAAGCCATTCTTCATGGAGGACTCGGCATAATGGATGTAAGATGCTCCCATCGGCCTGTAAAACACAAGTAGTTTCTCTAACATGTGCAGTACAGTATCAGTGTTTCCGTTTAAAACATTATGTTAGTCAAAATGGGAGAAATTCTGGTGAAATATTATATGTGATTAATATGGAGATTTAAAAGTAGTTTTTCAATAGACTTGTGCATAATACAAACAATATAAAATATTACGCAGACCACGCCATATCCCTTCACAAAGAACTTTCCTCAGCTCAAGGCTCGAGGCTCAAGCTCGAGGCCTACTATTTAAAGTGTTATGTTTTAATAAAAAAAGGTGGAAGGAGTGAAAGGAATATGAGTTTTTTTATTAATTATTTGAAGTCTGAAACCCCAGGATTCTTTTTTTTTTTTTTTAACCACTTAACTCCGTTTTCTCTTTTGCCTTATACAGGGAAACATTATTATATTAAATATTACATGAATACCAATATATAGGTTAATACACATAAGACTACAGTGCACACTCAAACTACACCAATAAGGTACATTTATATATCATGTAAGAAAAATACTTAACATGTAGGCCTTTTGGATATAAATACAGTATATTTTTGTAACATGGCTTGTTGAAGTTGTATTTCTCTCATGAGACTAAACCCCTTTATATCAGCAGTGCAGTGTTACTGCTATACAATAATTCCAACAGGTGTCACTGTGTTCTCTGCGTTTGTACCCACAAAGATTGGAATACTTTTTGTTACAAATAGAAGGAAATCTCTGAAGCTTCAGAGGGTTTCCTCTTTCATCACTAACATTTAGTGCTGACATCTATCTACCTGTTGAGTCCAGCGATCAGGTCTCTGATGTCATCAGGGAGGATGACACGATGCTCGCCCATGTCCCGGTGGTTTCCCAACACACACACCGGCACGTGGGTGGGTACTTTGGGCAGCTCCCTCAGGATGTAGTTAAAAGTCCTGCAAATGACAAATCATATTCATCTGTGGAGGGATGTGAAGAAAATCAAAAATCAAATCAGTGAGTCTCAGTTCAGAGGAGGACGAAATGGTGCATCTTAAAGAATTCTCCATATCAGTGAGACTCATTGATTTTGTTGCCTAAAAGTTATATAACATGGTCAAGGTGAATACATATAATAATAATAATAATAAATTGAATTTATATAGCGCTTTTCAAGTCTCAAAGTCGCTTAATAGTCTCAAAGTCGCTTAATATATATATATACATATATATATATATATCAGGGTTTCCATTAGCCGGTAATTACCAGTTTTTAGCTGGTAACATTTATTAAAAACCGGTAAATTCAAGACCTGCCGGTCAAAATGTCCAGTAATAATTAGGGATGCTCCGATCGATCGGCCGCCGGTCATTATCGGCCGATATTCACTCTTAATAGTTTGATCGATGCTCTCTATAAAGGCCGATCAGGAGAACTGGATCTGATCGATATGGACATAAACGTGAGGGAAGTATAACTGGACGAGAGAGAGAGATCAGATCAGCTGCTGAGTCTGACGGAGAAACGCAGCTCTGCATGATCACCTGAAGCCCCGCCCACTGTTTAGCGAGCTGCATGAGAAACTGACGGGCTGTCAGGAAGGAGAGAGAGAGAGAGAGAGAGAGAGAGAGAGAGAGAGAGAGAGAGAGAGAGAGAGAGAGAGAGAGAGAGAGAGAGGATCCGTTTCTCCCGTGTTATTATTCAAAGTTAATGTAAACTTTTGAATAATATACTTCATCTAATACAAGTAGTTTGTTTGAATGTAATAATTATGTTGTTTGTGGAATCATTTATTGAAAAATGAATCTGAACTTTTCGATCTGTTACGATTATAAACTGAAGCAATATAAAAATGACTCCCATTAACAGTTTTAAACATCAGCATATCCGGTAATAGTCCGGTAATTACCTGCTAACGGAAACTCTGCTACACAATTATTATTATTATTATTATTGAAACATGACCGGTAAGTTTCACATTTGTCCGGTAAAATAAATTATTTCCGGACATTTGACCGGCAAGAAAAAATCCTGGCGGAAATCAAATCAAATCAAGTTTTATTTATATAGCACATTTTTAAAACGATTTTTGGTCGAGCCAAAGTGCTGTACATGCAATAAAAACACTTTACTACAATAGCAAACAGAAGACAATAAATTACAACAGCAAAAATAAATAAAAATCACACACAGGGAAAAGTCAGGAGTCGTGCTCCGCTCTGGCTAGAAGGCCAGAGAGAAGAAGTGAGTCTTAAGTGTAGATTTAAAAACCCCTAGGGTCTGGGCCGACCTCACATGGAGGGGCAGAGTGTTCCAGAGCCTAGGGCCCGCTGCTGCGAATGCTCGGTGCCCTCAGGTTTTGAGGCTGGGCTTGGGCACTATCAGCAGCAGCTGGTCAGCAGACCTTAAAGCTCTGGCTGGGGTGTAGCGATGGAGGAGTTCAGCTATATAGGCCGGAGCCAGCCCATTTAGGGCTTTCAAAACAAATAAAAGAAGTTTAAAATCAATTTGAATTGGAAGCCAGTGCAATGAGGCCAGAATTGGGGTGATGTGGTCACGCTTTTTGTGGCCAGTCAGAAGACGTGCAGCTGCGTTCTGGACTAACTGCAGGCGTCTAATTGACGCCTGGTCCATACCCACGTATAGAGCGTTGCAGTAATCCAGTCTCGAGGTAACAAAGGCGTTAATAACCCTTTCCAGGTCTTTAAAAGATAAATACGACTTGGTCTTGGCCAATAGTCGTATTTTAAAAAAGCAGGTGACTACGGTGCTGACCTGCTTATCAAACTTAAAAGCGCTATTGAAGCCCTGAGAGAGAGATATATATATATATACACTCTTCTTTACTCTTACAAAAATAACAATTTTTTGACAACACGTGCAGCATTTAGCCAAAGCGTTTGTTAATGGCAACAACAACAATCAGTAAATAAATACCTATTGGTGCATCATGTCCCTTGTGACATGAGGATATTATTAAAGAAATCTCTATTCCCTCAAACCTGATGCCTGAAATAGCAACATGGAAATGTCTTTCAAGGTTTTTCCCTTGAAGCTGAACAAAAGCCAGCCAGCAGGCTCTCAGCTGAAACCGTATCTCTTCATACATATTCAGACGGGCCGCTCTTACCACTGCTTGGTGATGTCAAACATCATGATGATTCCATTGCAGTTCTTGTACACATCCAGGAACTCTGCATCCAGGGCCACCTCATCTGACTGCACACACACATCAAACAAAGGGATTAATCACATGACACCGGGACCCTACCTCGTACTCCATCCCTGACCCACATGCTATAAATGTTTGCTGAACACATGACAGCCATGTGATAATCACCTCCTGGGGCTCATTCTCCAGTTTCAAGTTCTCTCCACGCTTTTTGCCTTTGCCTGGAGGAACAAGGAATTACAAGTATTAGGTATAGCTGACAAGAAAAGACATCACAGTTGAGTTTGTTGCTTTAGGTTAGATTATGGTGAGTAAACAAGCGGAGCAGCACAGCCACTTTTCTTATGGTCTGTGTCCACATAGCATCTTTTTCTGTCAGGAAGGCGCTGGGCAGTTCAAAGAAACGCTCCAGTGCTTTTTTGTTTTGTTTATATGACAACTACAACTCAACGTATCACAGCTGTTGTATGACGGACTAGCATCGCCCCTTGGATTCTCTTATCTCTTAGTGCTAATATATATTATTTGACTATGAGCACCAACCGGAGGATGCTTGCTCTCAAACTTTGTATACATTTTGCTCCCACAGATTAAAGCTCTCTTTTTTATGATAGTTATGTCTGGAAAACAGTAAAAAAGCGTATCCAATTTCTACAGTGACGTCCCCAGTGGTTTTATTTTCAATTGAACCTTTAATTTATTCTTAAACTGTTAAGTTTATTATTTTTTTATTATTCGTATTCTATACATTTGATTCAGTCCTGTGTTTATTGACTTCTATTGGTTTTAAGTGTTTTTTCTTAAATGCAAGTGTTACTTATATACTAGGTATCTATTATGGGGGTAGGGCAGTATTTTAAATATTTTTGATTTTGGTTTGTGAAGAACTTTGTCTTACCTTTTGTGTATTAAAATTGCTTATATAAATAAAGTTTAATTGATTGATTGATAGAAGCGCTCATAGCAGCCGCTCTAAAACGGCGCATTAAAATAAAAATACTTTTACGTAGGGTGGCAGCATAAGACATCATGTGCTCCGTCCTTATTGGAATCAATTAAAGAGAGAAGTTTGCGCTCAGAAAATGCTATGTGGACATGTGACTTTATGGAAAAGCATCTTATCCAACATACCAACAGATTATCCTCTAAAAACAGACAACTGTTAATGAATGAAGGCTCACACGGTGCACACACTCTATCTACACCCAGCAGAACACTCAGCCAAACTCAGAAATGTAGCCACGCAGCACACCTGGGACGAGCCAACCTTGAGAATATTGACATTCAGATAAGAGTGGAAGGAGGCGGGACAAACCCACAGCACACAAGCCAGTTCAACTTCTACACACTATAGTGGGGCTCACCTACACCTTCAGGAAGAGGGTATTTTTGGCCTGAGATGAGTGCAGGAGAGGTGCAAAAAAAGACAACATCAACACTGAGGACAGAATAACGTGCGAAAGTGTGCGTCGCTTCAATGTCATGAAATACAGCACAAGATAGAGAAAGGTGTCACTTCTTAGAGCAAGAGGAGCAAAGTCTGTCTATTTAACATGTGATAAAGTGGGGTGTGTGTGTCAACACTTACCTTTGTCTACCACGTCCCACACCTCTACCTTGACCACATCATCAGTAGCTGAGGGACACAGAGAGAGTCTTTTTAATATTCACGTTGTTAGGGGGAAACATTTGAATGTGCAGCTGACTCTAATATGGATCCGATAACTGCAAACACTAGAAGAAGAAGTCGTTTCCTTTATATGGAAGAAAACATACAGGGCGGCTACTCTAAAACTGGGTTAGCTGAAACTAAATCTACATTTTTACCTTGATATGGAGCCACTGAAATAAATCACCCAGGCACAAAGCGCAGATGTTAAAAACACCCAAAAATAGAAACATGACAAAGCAGTGGTGATCAAATCAAATCAGTTTGGAGATGACATGAGTTTGGATGACTTACTTTTGTAATTCCAATGGATACTCGTGGCTTGGATCTCCTGAGTGGGCAGGTACTCCTCCACAAACTTCTTGCCCTGCAGTCGATGCCACAGAGTGCTCTTTCCAGTGTTTCTATCTCCCCGGATGACTATTTTCACTTGAAGTTTGTCAGGAAACAGAGAGAAAAACGTTATTTTATCAAAAAAAGACACGCTTATTTGAGAGCAGAAGGCTCTGGTTGGCTGCATTACTTACTGTTATACTGGACCCCTTTGGCAAAGCGTCTCTGCAAACTTTGGTTCATGGACTGCAGGCCAGCCGGAATGTTCTTGTCCCGGAGCTGCCCCGGCTCGGATCCGACCAACTTCTTAAACGCTGAAAACATCTTGACGCTCTTTCACAGGCTGGTACAGAATCACGCAATGGTACGGTGGAAGTCCCCTGACAATTGGTCACACAGCGAGAGAAGGAACTGTGCAGCAGGGCTGAGGAAGTTACAGATCCATGCTCAGAAGCAAACACGATGCAAAATGGCTAGATATTGACTGAAGTCAGTCGGGTTTCTTAAATCTGACTGGATGTTCCTGATCGCCAGTCAGAGGTGGATGTGACTACTTTGGTGATTTGAGCATCATCTGTAAAATAAAAAGAAACACAGAAGAATAAAGCAAGTTAATTACCTCCCATTCATTATCAAGGTATAAGCATGGTAACAAAGGGAGGATTGTCAAATACAAAATCATGTCTTTGCGGCAAAATAAATGTTCAGCCAGAAGGAAATAGGCTTTACTACGGTGGCCCGGAAGTGCAAGACACCACAGCATTTCAGAAAACACCACAGCATTTCACAAAACGCCGCAGCATTTCACAAAACACAACAGCATTTCAGAAAACACAACAGCATTTCACATTGGACGGAAAGGGTATTCCTTTAGGGAGAACACTTCTTGTTTGTGATTGGACAGAGCCAGCCAGAGAAGCACTGCTGTGATTGGTTGTTTTTGCTGCCAGTCAAGAAATGACGCTTCGTGATTGGTCAGCACCCGACAGCGCAACATGTCCCAACACATCAACCGTTAGCTGTTAGCACACACTCAGAGCTCACAGCTCCTCATATCTGTTCAGAAACTGGACAAAAGTTAAACAAGTATAAACCACAGACTGTCTATGTCATGGTGAATACAGTCGCTGCTTTATTTATGTCTGTATGACGCTGTTGTGAGTGTGGACGGAGCAGCTACAGATTGCTTTATCCTGTTCGATCCGATCTCCATTCAGAAAACACGCATTTTAAAAGGTGTTTCGCCTGCCGTCTTGTCTGCAGACTTGTCAAAGCATTAATTCATGGTTTTTACTAACCGGTATCAGTATGTAGTTACTTCGGCATCACTTTGAAACGTGTATTACAATTAAATCACGGTCAATATGTTCATTTTGTTGTAGTTGGTATCTCCCATAGGATTTACATGGAGATACGCCCCGCCCCCTCTCCAGCGCGTCTTGTTTGAATGACAGGAGCAAACACAGCTGACAGCCGCGGTGAAACTCGAGCGATTAGAGTGATGCGAATATTGGGTAGTCTACCATAGTATTTACATGGAGATAAGCCCCTTAAAAACCATGAATTAATAAAGCATGAATTCATGGTTTTTTCGCATCGCTCTAATCGCTCGAGTTTCACCGCAGCTGTCAGTGTTTACTCCTGTCATTCAAACAAGACGTGCTGGAGAGGGGGTGGATCGAACAGGATAAAGCAACCTGTAGCTGCTCCGTCCACACTCACAACAACGTCATACAGACATGAATAAAGCAGCGACTGTATTCGCCATGACATAGACAGTCTGTGGTTTGTACTTGTTTAACTTTTGTCCAGTTTCTGAACAGATATGAGGAGCTGTGAGCTCTGAGTGTGTGCTAACAGCTAACGGTTGATGTGTTGGGACATGTTGCGCTGTCGGGTGCTGACCAATCACGAAGCGTCATTTCTTGACTGGCAGCAAAAACAACCAATCACAGAAGTGCTTCTCTGGCTGGCTCTGTCCAATCACAAACAAGAAGTGTTCTCCCTAAAGGAATACCCTTTCCGTCCAATGTGAAATGCTGTTGTGTTTTCTGAAATGCTGTTGTGTTTTCTGAAATGCTGCGGCGTTTTGTGAAATGCTGTGGTGTTTTCTGAAATGCTGTAGTGTTTTCTGAAATGGTGTAGTGTACGGGCCACCGTACTTTACATATGGTTTTACTTTCAATAACTATCAAGAGACGCACACAACTGTCCCCTAAGATAGAACTAATAACATTAAGACTATTGTGATGTGTCAGTACAGTCAAAAGCTAAGCATGCATTTGCGTTCAAAAACATTACATCGCTTCAAAACCCAAAATATTGTTTGTTCTTCTGGTCTGTCTCTAAATATATTTCAGTTTTTCAAATTAGTGTCAGTGTTTAAACATTAAAAAGCTCAAATAATATGTCCTCGCTAAATGTGCTAAATGTAGGTATTGTCAGTTTGATGTGATGCCTATATTAAGAGCTGCACAAGTAGGAAGAAATAGTAATAAAACAAAAAAAACAAATATTGTGCTTTCTGCGATTTAAATATTGCTCTAGTCCATGTGGTGATTTGGTACAAATCTGATAAATTGCGCAGCCCGTTCTACATTGATCTTACGTTGAGTCAATATGATTATTCAGCGGTGTAAAGTAACTAAGTACATTTACTCGAGTACTGCACTTAATTACAATTTTGAGGTACTTGTACTTTACTTGAGTAATTCAATTGTTTGCTACTTTGCACTTCTACTCCACTACAATTCAGAGGTAAATGGTGTACTTTTACTCCACTACATTTATTTAATAGCTTTAGTTACTTTGCAGATTTGGATTAATGATGCGAAATATTATCAAGTGTTAAATCAGACTTTAGTTCCACCTGGAGTAAATTCACAAGCTACCCTGCAGTATACAAAGTCATTCAAACTAGCTGCACCTTTACCAGCTTTGATAACACTTTAATGGTCAATAATTATAAAACATATCATATATATTATTCTGAAATGGACCAATCTGCACCATGACTACTTTTACTATATTTTGATGCTGATAATTTTCTACTTTTACTTGAGTAACCTTTTGAATGCAGGACTTGTAACAGAGTATTCCTACACTCTGGTACTTCTACTTTTACTCAAGTACAAGATCTGAGTACTTCTCCCACCTCTGTGATTAGTTTATTATAAGGGAACTATGAGTGACACATGAGGCCTTCCAGCTGTTCCGTCACAGTGTCCCAGCTTTTCCATTATTCAGTACCAGGATCAGCCTCACAGCTCGGATTCAGAGAGGAGAGAGCAATACGTTAGTGCCCGGTAATAACACAGGGCTCAATTATTCTGGGGTGAATTGTCCCCTTAACGTTATCCTGCTAGCAGTAGCTGCCCAGGCTGTTAGCGCTTTGGAGAGGGCTTTGAAGCAATGTTGAAAGCAATTATGCTACAACTGCTCAAATGAAACGGTATGTCGACGTTGAAACAGAGAGGAGGTAACATGTAACCAACACTGGCTGAAAGGTAATGTTATCCCCTGGCTCTGTTTGGCTAGCTAACCAGCCGACATTAGCTAGCTTAGCTTCTCCGCTCAGTGACATGAAACGGCAGCTAGACTGAATGTCATCTCTCAGATCATCTACGAATACTCACGGTTATTCAATAAGATACCACATCGCTGTCCCGACATCTTTTGCTCAAAACATCTGTCAGTCCTCCATCCCAGCTGAGATATAGCAGCCGCAGCGACATTCCTTTGCAAAGAGAGCAGCTACACAGACGGCGTCAAGCGTGAGACACACGAGCAACTTCCGTTACAGATTTCAAAATAAAGCTTATGTTTGTGCATTTTAATTTGTGCAATAAGGTTCAAGGTTCTTTATTGTCAAACTAACATAGCTACAGAGTAATTATGTCGTTGAAAATCTTAGGTCACAGGCTTCTCCAACAATGCAACACAATAATACAGATAAGCAGACAATATTAAAACAATATTAAAATATACTATATTAAAAGTAATACAAAAAGAAAAATAGTTTAAAAAAAAAAGTGGAATAGTGCAATACGAGTCTATATACAAGTTATTGGAATGATATATTAGATAATAGATAAATAATTACTAAGTAGCAGATGAATGTTATGAAATTGTTTCAGCAGTTCAGTTGTTTAACAGTCTTATTGCCTGCGGGATGAAGCTGTCTCTGAATCTGGTTGTTCTTGTCTTGATGCTGCGGTAACGCCTGCCAGACGGCAGCAGACTGAACAGTTTGTGGCTGGGGTGATGGGGGTCTTTTATAATCCGGAGGGATTTCTTCCTGAGCCGCTGGGAGTAAAGGTCCTCCATGGATGGCAGCTCCGTCCTGGTGATGTTCTCTGCAGTTTTCACCACCCTCTGTAAAGCCTTACGATTAAGGGCATTGCAGCTGCCGTACCAGGCCGTGATACGGCCAGTCAGGATACTCTCTATGGTGCACCTGTAGAAGTTGCAGAGTATCCTGGAATCCATTTTGAACCTCCTCAGCCTGCGGAGGAAGAAGAGCCGCTGTCGAGCTTTCTTGGTGATGGTGGTGGTGTGAAGAGTCCATGTCAGGTCCTCAGTGATGTGGACCCCGAGGAACCTGAAGCTGCTGACTCTCTCCACCGTAGTCCCATTGATGGCGATGGGGGCGTGTCCCTCTCCCTGCTGCTTCCTGTAATCCACAATCAGCTCCTTTGTTTTGCTGACGTTATCCTGGCACCAAGATGTCAGGTTTTCGACCTCCTCTCTGTACGCCGTCTCGTCACCATCTGTGATCTGGCCGATGACGGTTGTGTCGTCAGCAAACTTCACGATGGTGTTGGAGCTGTGTGTGGCCACGCAGTCGTGAGTGAACAGGGAGTAGAGGAGAGGGCTGAGCACGCAGCCTTGAGGCGCACCGGTGTTGAGGATCAGGGTGGAGGTTGTGATGTTTCCCACCCGCACTGCCTGGGGTCTGCCCGTCAGGAAGTTCAGGATCCAGTCACAGAGGGCGCTGTTGAGCCCGAGGTCTCTGAGCTTGATGGCCAGCTTGGAGGGCACAATGGTATTGAATGCTGAACTGTAATCAATGAACAGCATTCTCACATATGTGTTCCTCTGGTCCAGGTGTGAGAGGGCAGTGTGGATGGTGAGGGCTATGGCGTCGTCTGTGGACCTGTTTGCTCTGTAGGCAAACTGCAGGGGGTCCAGAGAGTCAGTGAGGGAGGAGGTGATGAATGATTTGACTAACCGCTCAAAGCACTTCATTATGATGGAGGTGAGTGCTATGGTAGTCATTGAGGCTGGTGATTATTGTTTTTATGGGGACAGGAACGATGGTGGAGTGTTTGAAGCATGTGGGGACTACAGACTGCAGCAGGGACCTGTTGAAGATGTCTGTGAACACCTCTGCCAGCTGAACTGCACACACCCTGAGAACCCGGCCAGGGATGCCATCAGGTCCAGGAGCCTTGTGTGGGTTAACCCTTTTAAAGGATTTGCACACATCTGCCCTGTTTAAAACAAAAGGGCAGGGCTCCTGGTCCTTCTGTGCCTCCACAGCCTGGCTGCTCTCAAAACGTGCAAAAAAGCTACTCTACTGGACTCGTACTACCTCTCAACCATACGATGCAAGCATTCATCTACTGAGATATCTATAAACGTAGCCGGCCCCCGGGGCAGGCCTACCTGAATGCGCGCGCAAGCTCACCGTATAAAAGGCGGCCTCGCCTCCTGACTGTCATCCTACACCCTCTTCAGCGAGCGGCATAGGACAGACAGGGCCCCAACTAGAGGGCTCCGCCTGTGCTTATATAACTAGGGTTACAATACGTAACCCCTCGTTATATCTTAAACAGGCTCCGCCCTCTACTGGACTCTATGGGTACAGTGGGCGGAGCCCTGATGGAAAAACGCCCTGTCGTCCAACAACATCGACCCATCACACTGCCCCTGACCGGCTTTTGGTTAACAGCCACTGCACCGCAACTCCTTCTCCCTCGGTTGTGACTGTGGAGAAGTCGGGGCTGCAGCTTACTTGGCTGGTAGAGCACACTCAGACACGCTTACCTCGTGAAGAGTGTGCATTGAAAATAGTGAGGAAGGCTCTGTATGGGGCTTACTGCGCACCATGTTTTCCCAAGTCCCCAAGGAGCATGGGAAAACACAAGTGCATTATGTCCAGGGGGGGGGGGGGGTCGGATACCTACTGACCCACAGCCACCCCCCCTCACCAGTCCTGTGTTGCCCCAGCAAGCACAGACGATGAGAAGGAGCCAGACATGTCCAAGAGATAAAACGTTATGAAGGGGCCTGGCGTGGACCAAGACGCCGCCGTGCATATGTCCTCCACACTCACGCTGTTGAATAAGGCTGTTGACACAGCCATACCCCGTGTAGAGTGTGCACGGACCCACGCAGGGAAGGCTCTCCCCGCCTGTCCGTAGGCATGCGAAATGCACTCGCAGAGCCATCCTGCCAGGCGTTTCTTGGACAGAGCTTTACCGGCCACACCACCCCCAAAGCACACAAACAGCTGTTCAGAGCTCCACATAACATGCTAGCGCAGGCAGAGGAGGTGCAATTTAGCCTCCCTGGCCCCAATATGGGGTGGAAGATTAAAGCCACCTAACTGAATAGCCCTTGACCTGAACGAACTCCTTAGGCTCTTGGGAACAAAGGAGGGGTTCGGTCTGAGTGTCTGAGAGAGGAGGCATGCACCACTGGGCGCTGCCTCCTGACCCCCTCCAAAAACCGCGACTAAAGGCTGACCTGCCGCCAAATCCCTCATGGCAGGACGAAATGGCTGCTGCATACACTTTAACTGTGGAATGAGCAAGCCCCCTGTCCACCAGTAGGACAGAATAGAGCCCAACGTCCATCGCTGGAATCCCAACCACTTTGGCCTGTAACAGGCTGTGGTGGATCCTGCTCTTGCTGACTGGATAGTCTGGATAACTTTATCAGACAATCCCCCCTGTCTCAGCCTGTCCCTCTCAGGAGCCAAGCCTGGAGAGGTTGGCCCAGAGAGGGTAACGCACCTATTGCACCTGCTTGCACCATGGTGCCCCGCGGCGATCTGGGGCCACTAGGATGACTGACAGACGTTCTCGTCTCACCCTCCCCAGGAGGGCGAGAATGAGGCGCAGTGGTGGAAAGGCGTAGAGCAGCTTTCTTGGCCATGGCTCGTGTGCAAACGCGTCCACCCCATGGGGCGGATCGTCCCGCCGAGCCATGGAAAACCACAGGGTACATTGGCTGTTGCGCCGGCTGGTGAACAGGTCCACCTCCGCTCTCCCGAACTGGGCCCAGATCTGCTTCACCACCTCCGGTTGAAGCACCCACTCGCCTGACAGGGGCCCGCCTCTTGACATGAGGTCGGCCCCCCTGTTCTCCAGTCCCGGGATGTGGAGGGAACACAATCTCTGAAGCCCACAACCACAGTTTCTCCGCTGTGGTCAACAAGGACGGCGGACTCCGCCCTGCCTGTTGATGTACGCCACTGTGGTGCGGTTGTCGCACCTCACCAGCACATGTTTGCCCTGTATTAAGGGTTTGAAATGCTGGAGGACCAACACTACGGCCTGCAGCTCTAGAAGGTTGCTGTGCCGCGTCTCTGTCAGAGACCAGCGACCACCTATAGCTCTCTCTAGGCAGGTCCCCCCCCATCCTGTCACGGATGCGTCTGTGAACACCGTGATGTAGGAGGTCACTCGCCCCAGTGGAGTTCCCCTCCGGAGATGCTCCGGGGAACCCCAATATCGGAGGTTGCCCCCCACTGAGGGGGTGATGGTCACCAGACGTCGTTTGTGCCTCTTGGGATCTAAACGAAGGCCGGAAAACCACCTCTGCAGGCGGTGCATATGCAGCAACCCCAGCGGCACCACAAAGTGAGCAGTCGCCATGAGACCCAGAGTCTGCATGATGGTCAAAGCTGTCACCGTTGCCCCCTGTCGCAGTCTGCAAACTGCCCGAAGCAGGGTTGCCTGTCTGCTCTCTGACAGGGTGGCGCGTAGCCTGCCTGCATCGAGCACCATCTCCAGATACTGCACCTGTTGGTGAAGTATGAGATTGCTCTTCTTCCAATTGACCGCAAAACCCAACTTGGTTAGGTGTAGGATCAATTGGGCTGTGTGAAACATTGCCCATTCCCTGGACCTGGCCATGACTATGAGGTCGTCCAGATAAAAGAAAACCCTCATGCCATCGTCGCGAAGCGGCTGAAGCGCTGTGGCCACACATTTGCTGAACGTGCGTGGGGATAGGGAGTAGCCGAATGGTAGTCTGTTGTACTCGTAGGCTATCCCCTGGAAGGTAAAACGCAAATACTTTCTGTGCTCTGGAGCAATTTCGACATGAAAGTAAGCGTCCTTCAGGTCGATGGTTGTGAACCAATCGCCCGGCTGCACTAGGTCCAATAACTGTTTTATAGTTAACATATGGATTTTTTTGCAGGCAATGTGCTGATTCAGGCTGCGGAGATCTAGAATGGGTCTGAATTCTACTGTCTTCTTGGGAACCAGGAAGTACATGGAATAAAGACCCTTTTCTCTGTGCTGAGGGTGCACAACAGACACCGCCTGTGTTTGAACCAGGGACTGAATCTCTGCCGAGAGGAAACCTATCTCCTCCTGGGATGATTGATTTGCCTCTCTTATGCCATTGAATGGAGGAGGGACGCTGCAAAACTGGAGTGAATAACCCCGTTTCAGCGTCCTGTCCATCCACTTTGTTAATACACAGCTGAGCTTCCATTCCCCATAACACTGTGATAGGGGACAAGCAATCAGCTGTGGAGCCACAGCT